TATGCAGGATGATAAATGTACATTTTCATTATGAGAAGACAAATGTTAACAGTTTCCCTAAATAAAAGAGAAAAGCTGAATAAAAAGTACAAATGACTCTTTAAATATGGAGGTGGTCTGTGTAATTATTTCACACTTTGTTTCTTCACAGGCGTTATTTATTCTCACACCCAAAAATGGCATTAAAGGAGGTGGAGCGTACAGCCTCTCAGTCTTCAATTTAATGTGTTTATAGACGGGTTTCTGTGCAATGTCATCACAGGTATGCACGCGCAGCTTTGGGGCAGAAAGTGGGACATTTCTTATTTGTTTACTAGCGGAGTCAAAGAAAATGACAAGGAGCTGTTGTGCTGTAAACTGCCCGAATCGGCAAAACAAACAATCGGCAAACATTACGACCATGCTCCGGATATTAGAAACATGTAAAACAACGACACAACCTGGTAAATTGAGTGAAATTCATGGATATTTTAGCAAGTGTTTTTTTGATTTTGACGCAATGAAAGACAAAATGAAAATTAAATGACATTAAAGTGACAGTAAAATGACATTTTATTGCAATTGTGTCAGGGAGAACTTACAAACAATACAGCATCTTCATTGATATCAGTTCACTCTGAAGCAGACATTTGATGATCATCGCCAGCTCTGTTAACAGGCAGCATCTGCAGCTGCCTGGACAGCTACCGTGTTGACATCACAGAGACTATAAAGAGTTATTTATGTAACATGTACCACGATAAAAGACGATAAAAATTACCTGTTCAACAAAAACTCTGCTGTCTCAGCGTTTGTTTTCAGATTGGATGGAGAGGCGGAGCAGGAGATTGACCAATAGGAGCTTTCTGGGTAGGATGGCTCCCATTGGTCAATGTTTTTACAGCCCTGCACCTTCACTTTGTGGAGATCGCACTATAGGACCATGATCACCATAGAAAAGATGCTCATAATAATTACCAATCTCTCCAATTATCAAACATGCCTTTAAGGTTTTGCTCAGGTTTAATACAGAAGCAAGACCAAGGGATTCTGGTGTATCTACCGTTTTAACTCTTTGTGATTCTGATGACGTGTTGTACATGAACGCTGCGACTCAGAGTCTTCACAGCCTGGACAGTGTGTGTCATGGTGCACTGGGATGTATGACAAATTGAGGCTTTTTTATTCAGTATTGTTCTTTATATTCCAAAGTAAATGTGTTTAGTGTGTGTGTGTTAAGTGTGTGTGTTTAGTGTGTTTCTGTTACTCATCTGGTGACCCCTGCTGGGAGCACAGAGCCTGGGGTTGGGAAACAGAGCTCTGGATTATCAGCAGCCTAACATCAGCTACATAAAAAGATTAAAACCTTCTTTAAATGAGTGGAAAGTTCCTTTGAAGTGTCCCGCTCTCCGCGAGCCGTTTCAGCTCCCATTCTCTCTGACAGGGAACTTTACTCTGGACTGGACGCTGTTGTCTTGCAAATCTATCCTGATGGGTGGGAGGCAAATCCTGCCCCGCAGCATTTCCTCCACCGCCAACCCGTTTTAACGTCCTAATGATTCCTTCTGTTGCCATCCTGAATGCTAATAAGAACATAATGCTTCCTGCCATGATAGCAATATCCAGGGGCTCTCCTGCTGCGGCTAATTCAGCTGTTGAGAAGCTTTTAACCAGATGCTTGATGATGTTGGACCCTCTGAGGAAGCTGAGCGCTTCCCACACACGTTTAATGAAGCAAAGACATTCGCAGAGCCACAAATGCATTATATCTATTCCTGCTTTTAAGGCGTTTGCACGGTGCTAATTATGCAGATATAATGATGCCAGCAACACAAGGGGGTCATTAACATCACAAGCAGCTAACAGCATGGGTCAAAACCTACACCGCTGGGACTGCAGATGCTGCAAATATTTGCCAAGAAATTTATGAGCGATGTGCGAGAGGAAGAAATACGAAACTTTTTTTTTATTGTGCAAAAGTCACTTCTGTGACAGAGAGCTTTTCAATCTGTGGAGCTGGAGTCAGTCCATTACAGCTCGGCTCATTTACTCTAACAGTCAGTGGTTAAAGACAGCAGCCTGAAGGCGTCTGAGTCACAGCCAACTCTGGATCATACTGTACCAGGAGCTGCTGCACTGTTTGGAGTCAGTTAAACCTGAGCACACAGACCTGCTGCACATAGATTAGATCCAGTATAATGGATTTTTTAAGGAGGAAGTCATTAGATAAGATTTAAAGGTGTGGTAGTCAGGATCTGAGGAAGTTCCAGTTTTTGGGTAAAATCTTGAACGTAAACTCTACCCCTCCCAACCAGTTTTCCCCTGAGCTCCTCCTCTCCCCTCCCTCTCTGCTCACTAAGCCTCGCCCACAAACAGACGCTCCTGCTCGCTCGTATCGTTCCAATTAAATTCAGATATAATGCAAATAAATACTTCAGATAATTACAAATGGGGCCCAGTCAACGTGAAAGTAAAAAGCATTGGTGCAACTGTAGATGCCAACAGAGTACCAGCAAACACAATGTTTGCAGGACTTCTATAACTAGGATAAAGTGACATAGTCCAGGACCTGAGGTCAACAGTTTAGCGGCGCTACAACATGCAGCAGGTCCTGTTTGACAAGAAACACTTCTGTTACCAACACTTGGCTTACTTTGTTAAAGCGGTTTACCTGTCCAGCAGAAAGGTTTCAGGGTCACGAAGATCGTCCCCCATCATTGTTGACCTGGCTTCTTAGCTCTTGTCCGGTCTACCTCCTTTTTAAGCGCCCATTATGCCGCCAGAGGCTTCGGTATTTACTTTGTTTTCTTGCTTGTGTTGGCAGTCGTGGCCAAAGGAGGATTCAGACAATTTTCTGAACTTTCTGGTTGGTTTCTACTGTCCGATATTACAGCACGCTAACTTTGTTTGGACTCCTGAACGACACAGGAGAGCAGTGTCTGCCTCACAACCAATCAGGATGGGAGAGGCGAAGAACAGCTTTGTTTACAGTCAGAAAGAGCGGGCCGCTCAAGAAATGTTAAAATGTTGACTACACAGACATAAAAGAACACAGAGATATCTTTATATTACCAAATGTCATCAATGACTTACAGCTATTGACTGAAATTGAAAGCTTTTTCATATATACCCCACAGAAAAAAGATACTTCTTTAATGGATTCCTGCCTGCCCCACCTTTAATGGATAAAAATGCACAAATATCTTCCATCTCTGAGATTTCAGTCAGTGTAATAATCCTGTTTCGAAACATGACTTCAACTTTGAGTCTTGGGGGTCGAGGAGAGCCTGTTGCCACAGGCTGGTAGGGATGTGACAAGATATTTTCCTGCTGCTGATTGATTCTAGGTCCCATTTTGTGCATTTGTGGAGTATTTTTCACACTGAGCCCAAGGCCAGGTGACAAATCTGGATTCTTCCACCGATAACAAGTGTAAAAAGTCACGTCAGACTGAACTACAGAGTTGTGCACTAAGAGTTTCTGCACTAAGCCAAGTGTGCACAAAAATATAGGATATTACATGTCTGTATTTATTTATTTAAAAAGGACATCTGCAAATGAAATGATTAATATGGTACTATGGGGGGTTTATTAATAAAGAGTTGAAAGCCTTGATCTTCAGCTGTCATAGTTAGAGTTTCAGGGCATTAAAAAATGAAGGCCTGTGTCAGTCCAACTGTTGGTAACAACTGGACTGAAACAGTGAAATGAATATAAAGTGGCTGAATGTGTCTTTGCCTGCAGCAGCTCCAACAGTGAGCCGCTGCGGTGACATTGATGCAGCACTTTAATAATACAAGACAGAGTCAGAAATCAGTCACAGCAGACATTTGCTGCAGGAATTGTACAGTTACTTTTCATTCTTGAGGTCTTTTGACTGATAGTTTTTGACTTTTTTTCCTCTTGCAGGGTTTTAATTATACAAATGCATGTGTAATTTCACTCATATACAGTAGTTTTACGTTGCAGATTACAACACAGATTTAGCTGTACTCTTATAGAGCTGGGTGTAATGATTAAGTGTTACATCAAGCACAAAGATTGATAGTAGGTCTCAGTGTAGAATAAGGATAATGTCGTATTTCGGGAAACTCAACAATGGGTTTTTGACTTGATGCATTTGCAGATATTTCTTAACCTCTTCTGAGCATTTTGGGTGTTACTTTTCAACTGTTACAACTTGAAAATAGATTACATGTCTGGACTTGTAAGGTGAATGTGGCTTATATTGAGTCTAATGAGATATTTTTGATCAGAAATTAGATTAAAGCATTGAGTTGATGCAGTGTGGAGCTGAGCTAAACCCGTGCACCTTCTTAAAAAACAAGCATTAACTGTTGTTTATTTACAACTCAGATACAAAAATTGAAATAAAAATGCATTAGTTGCTTTCATGATTATCTACAACCAAGAGACAAACTGGAGAAGCTTCCCTGTTGGTCATTTTTGCAGACTGTGCTGTATTGGTTAATGACAGAATAGTAATAAGGATCTGCAGGGTAAAAGGTCACAGGGAAACTGGAATCAATATGTTCCCTCCTGCTAGGTAAATTCTTCAAATATTAGGTCATTTTATGAATAATGAATCAGGCGACCCTGCTGTTCGACCACTGAAAACATGACAGTGGTGCGGGGGAAAGGTCACGGGGTTCACAAAAATCAATGAGCTCTATAAGTGGATCAATTTTACACTTAATGGTGATTTGTTCCTGTTAGAAATAAAGGAGCAGGTGAACTTATTGACACAAAGGTTATTACAGTTTGTGGTTTCTGTAATGGTGGTTGATAATGAGCAATAACTCTGCATCTAGGGTCATCTTATGCCATGATAAAACAGAAAAAAAGATATTATTTGCAACATAAAGTATATAAATAAAAATTCATTGTGTTCGTCTTTATAAATACAGAGGGAAAGAATGTAATTGTACAGGGAAAACTATGTAACTATAAGGACATAAATACATAAAGTGTTTTATTAAAATAATTTAAAAAATAGGTGATACATGCTATTAAACACAACAAATGTTGAGCTCATAGGACTAGTTATTACAATCCCTTATATCAGCACTTGGAATTGAGTGGGGGGGGGGGGGGGGTAAAACGTCACTGGGGTCTTCAGGTGGGCACCCCCCTTCACTGGTGTTTCATTGATAGGCCCACGACACCTCCAGGGGGCTCAACGGCGACACCTGGCGTCCCAGGTGTGCCCCCCTCTGCTTTTACCCCTAGGTGGTCATTTTGCAGCCCAGGTGGAGTCCTTTCTCTTGATCCAGAGCCATCTGCTGCTTCGTTCGGCAGCCTCTGATATAGATTTGATGGCTCGTCGGAAGGCCTGTCCTCGTACTCCCAATCTCTTCAGAAGCTTGGTTGTGGATGTTGCAACGAAGCCTCTGCACCCAACCTCCACCGGAAGCACCTGGGCCCTCCAGCCGCGCTTCTCTGCCTCGGCTGCTATGTCCGCATACTTCAGTCGTTTGCGCTCATATGCTTCACCAACTGCTGCCTCCCACGGTACAGTTAATTCAATGATGAACGCAACCTTCTGGGTGGTTGACCACAAGACCAGGTCCGGCCTGAGGCTAGTTGGAAGGATCTCAGGCGGAAAGATGAGTTTTTGGTCTAGGTCAACCTGCATCCTCCAGTCCCGGGCAGAGTCTAGGAGGGTTGCCTCCACTCTTGCAGATGGTTTTGCCGGTGGTTGTCCTGCTCTTACAAATGGGGTGGTGTTTGGGCGTCTAGGCATTGGTGGAGGGAGGGCATTGATGGTTGTTCTCCTTCCTTCCAGAGTGATCGCCAGTTGTCTTAGGACCTGGTTGTGTCTCCAGGTGTAGCGGCCTTGGGACAGACTGGTTTTACAGCCGGTGAGGATGTGACTCAGTGTTGCAGGTGTTTGACAGAGTGCACAAGAAGGATCTTCTCCAAACCATTGGTTTAGGTTTTTGGGTGTGGGAAGAACATCATAGGTGGCTCTGATGATGAAGCTGATTTGGCTTCCTTCCATTTCCCAAAGATCCTTCCATGTGAGCTTACGATGCTCCAGGTTTTCCCAGCTGGTCCACTGTCCCTGTTTGGACTGTGCTACTGCTGTCGCGCATCTGTTTGCCTCCTCTTGTTGCCGAACCTGAGCAACCACCAGCTTTCTCCTCTGGGTTGATGTTGCTTTGTGCCATGTGGGTCGACTTGTTCCGAGTCCAAACCCGCCTCTTCCATGCTGCACCTGTCCCACAATGTCTCCATGCCTGAGAGCAGATTTGGCTTGCTGTACCGCCTCAGATGGGTTCCATTTCCTCCCAGTTGCCAGTCTGGGAGCAGCTGCACGGATCACCTCATCTTGCGACTCAGTCAGGGTCATGTTCAGCCTCACCTTGGTGCACTTAAACTCCTCTGTGAGGCTAGAGATGGGCAGTTCCAGGGCACCATGTCCATACAAGCCGATGTTGCTGAGGCAACGCGGGAGGCCAAGCCACTTCTTGATGTATGAGCTCACTGTTCTTTCCATCTTCTCGACTTTGGTCATGGGGATCTCATAGACTGTTAGAGGCCACATCAGGCGGGGGAGCAATCCAAACTGCAGGCACCACAGTTTCAACTTGCCAGGAAGCAAGGTCTTGTCTATGCTGACGAGGCCTTTGATGGTTTCTTCCCTCAGCTGATCACTCTGGTCCGAGTCTTTGAGATGTGCGTTGTATAGTCGCCCTAGGCTCTTGACTGGCAGTTCAGACACCAATGGGATGGGTGTGTCCTTGATGTGGAACCTCTGGTCTGTGAGTCTCCCCCTGACGATGGATATGCTCCTGGATTTGCTTGGTTTGAACTTCATCCGTGCCCATGTGATGTTGGCATGAAGCTTTCCTAGCAGATGTTTGGTGCATGCAACGGTTGAGGTCAGGGTGGTCATGTCATCCATGTAAGCGCGAATGGGAGGGAGACGCTGGCCACACTTCAGACGTTCTCCACCCACAACCCATTTGGAAGCTCGAATTATCACTTCCATTGCCATGGTGAAGGCTAGTGGGGAGATAGTGCATCCAGCCATTATTCCCACTTCCAAAGATTGCCATGATGTTGTATATTCTGTTGTTTTGACACAGAATTGCAGATCTTGGAAGTAGTTTCTCACCAGGTTTGTGATGGTACTTGGGATGTGGAAGAAGTTGAAAGCTGTCCAGATCAGAGAATGAGGGACGGATCCAAAGGCGTTGGCTAGGTCCAGAAATAGGACGTGCAGGTCCCTTCCTTCCCTTTTGGCAGATTGGATTTGGTGCCATATCATGCTTGAATGTTCCAAGCATCCTGAAAACCCAGGTATTCCAGCTTTCTGCACAGATGTATCAATCAGGTTGTTTTGCTTCAGGTATGTTGTCATCCTTTTTGCAACGATGCTAAAAAAGACCTTCCCTTCCACGTTCAACAGGTTGATTTGCCGGAATTGATCGATGTTGGAGGCATCCTTCTCCTTGGGGATTACCACTCCTCCAGCTCTACGCCATGCTTTTGGAATGGTTTGCTTCGTCCACATCACCTTCATTTGCCTCCACAGGAAGCGTAAGATGTTTGGGGAGTTTTTATACAGCCGATATGGAACTCCATTTGGTCCTGGAGCTGAAGCTGCCCTTGCCTTCCTCACTGCTTCCTCGACCTCGCTCCACTTTGGAGGACTGTCATCCAGCTGGTGTTCTGGTAGAGGAATTGGTGGCATGTCTGATGGTATCTCCCTTTGTTCAAATCTTTGGCTGTCTGTGTGAGTGGTTTTCAGGTGATCTTCCAACTCCCTCTTTGGCACCTTAAGTGACCCGCTTTTTTCCTTAGTGAAGAGTCCTTTTACAAATCTGAAGGGGTCCTTGTAGAAGGATGTTCTCGCCCTTTCCTTCCTCTTGCGTCGAGTCCTGAGGTTTTCAGCTCTCCGCAATCTTCCCAGGCGTCCCTTTAGGTCTGTTTGCAGGAGGTCAATGCCCACTCTTTCCTCCATTGAGGCTCTCTTCCATTGTTTCCTCAATTCCCTTCTCTCTTTAACCAGGCACTCGATTTCTTTCTGCCTTCTGGACTTGGGAGGGGTTGTTGGTGGCATATTCTTCTTCCCTGTCTCTTTTGCTCCAAATCTTTCTGCTCCATATGAGTAGATCAGGTCTCCCATTTTCTCCAGTTTCTTCTCCACTGTTCCTTTGACTCCGTCCAAGATCTTGATCAGGTCTGCATCAATTGTAGCCCACTCTTTCTTGCTGCTGGACTTTGGCCACTTCACATGAGGTCTGTGGCCTTGCATGTTCTTCTCCAAAGCAGGTTGCAAGTGGCTGGGTTCCAAGTTCTCTGATGTTGTGCTTGAATTATTCTCAGCCTCTGGGGTACTGATGCTCAGTGGACTGTGGGTTACATCCTGCCGCTGAGCTTCACTCGCCTGACTTGACCTTTCTCTCAGAAGATATTGGTCAATGCGAGGTCCTGGCCTCGTTTTCTTCACGCACTTCATCCGGCCTTGGTGTATTTTTAGGCCTCTGATGGAGGTTACTTTGGACCAGCCACAGCTACATACTTGGCGCTCTTGTCCTTCAGCCGATGTTGTTGCTTGTTCTGTGCCGATTACTTGGTTCGTTGTCGTGTTCATTCCAGGGTCAGTTACCGGGTTGTCAGCCGATGAGTCATCTTCCGCCCCCGCTCTCGCAGACTCTAGGGGTGTTTTCCTCTTTAAACTTTTCATAGCAATGGGGGTGGCCTTTGTCCACTTGCCAAGCGACGGAGCCTGCCATCACGGATAGCTAGTCCGTGACAGCCCCGTTGGGGTCTTTCCCTCCTGTCAGCTGTCTTTCCACGCCGTCACATGGTCTTTCCCTAGTTGTCAGCTGCCCTTTCACAGCAGTCACTGGATTTCTCCAGCTTATCAGTTGAGCTCATAGGACTAGTTATTACAATCCCTTATATCAGCACTTGGAATTGAGTGGGGGGGGGGGGGGTAAAAGCTTCACTGGGGTCTTCAGGTGGGCACCCCCCTTCACTGGTGTTTCATTGATAGGCCCACGACACCTCCAGGGGGCTCAACGGCGACACCTGGCGTCCCAGGTGTGCCCCCCTCTGCTTTTACCCCTAGGTGGTCATTTTGCAGCCCAGGTGGAGTCCTTTCTCTTGATCCAGAGCCATCTGCTGCTTCGTTCGGCAGCCTCTGATATTGATTTGATGGCTCGTCGGAAGGCCTGTCCTCGTACTCCCAATCTCTTCAGAAGCTTGGTTGTGGATGTTGCAACGAAGCCTCTGCACCCAACCTCCACCGGAAGCACCTGGGCCCTCCAGCCGCGCTTCTCTGCCTCGGCTGCTATGTCCGCATACTTCAGTCGTTTGCGCTCATATGCTTCACCAACTGCTGCCTCCCACGGTACAGTTAATTCAATGATGAACGCAACCTTCTGGGTGGTTGACCACAAGACCAGGTCCGGCCTGAGGCTAGTTGGAAGGATCTCAGGCGGAAAGATGAGTTTTTGGTCTAGGTCAACCTGCATCCTCCAGTCCCGGGCAGAGTCTAGGAGGGTTGCCTCCACTCTTGCAGATGGTTTTGCCGGTGGTTGTCCTGCTCTTACAAATGGGGTGGTGTTTGGGCGTCTAGGCATTGGTGGAGGGAGGGCATTGATGGTTGTTCTCCTTCCTTCCAGAGTGATCGCCAGTTGTCTTAGGACCTGGTTGTGTCTCCAGGTGTAGCGGCCTTGGGACAGACTGGTTTTACAGCCGGTGAGGATGTGACTCAGTGTTGCAGGTGTTTGACAGAGTGCACAAGAAGGATCTTCTCCAAACCATTGGTTTAGGTTTTTGGGTGTGGGAAGAACATCATAGGTGGCTCTGATGATGAAGCTGATTTGGCTTCCTTCCATTTCCCAAAGATCCTTCCATGTGAGCTTACGATGCTCCAGGTTTTCCCAGCTGGTCCACTGTCCCTGTTTGGACTGTGCTACTGCTGTCGCGCATCTGTTTGCCTCCTCTTGTTGCCGAACCTGAGCAACCACCAGCTTTCTCCTCTGGGTTGATGTTGCTTTGTGCCATGTGGGTCGACTTGTTCCGAGTCCAAACCCGCCTCTTCCATGCTGCACCTGTCCCACAATGTCTCCATGCCTGAGAGCAGATTTGGCTTGCTGTACCGCCTCAGATGGGTTCCATTTCCTCCCAGTTGCCAGTCTGGGAGCAGCTGCACGGATCACCTCATCTTGCGACTCAGTCAGGGTCATGTTCAGCCTCACCTTGGTGCACTTAAACTCCTCTGTGAGGCTAGAGATGGGCAGTTCCAGGGCACCATGTCCATACAAGCCGATGTTGCTGAGGCAACGCGGGAGGCCAAGCCACTTCTTGATGTATGAGCTCACTGTTCTTTCCATCTTCTCGACTTTGGTCATGGGGATCTCATAGACTGTTAGAGGCCACATCAGGCGGGGGAGCAATCCAAACTGCAGGCACCACAGTTTCAACTTGCCAGGAAGCAAGGTCTTGTCTATGCTGACGAGGCCTTTGATGGTTTCTTCCCTCAGCTGATCACTCTGGTCCGAGTCTTTGAGATGTGCGTTGTATAGTCGCCCTAGGCTCTTGACTGGCAGTTCAGACACCAATGGGATGGGTGTGTCCTTGATGTGGAACCTCTGGTCTGTGAGTCTCCCCCTGACGATGGATATGCTCCTGGATTTGCTTGGTTTGAACTTCATCCGTGCCCATGTGATGTTGGCATGAAGCTTTCCTAGCAGATGTTTGGTGCATGCAACGGTTGAGGTCAGGGTGGTCATGTCATCCATGTAAGCGCGAATGGGAGGGAGACGCTGGCCACACTTCAGACGTTCTCCACCCACAACCCATTTGGAAGCTCGAATTATCACTTCCATTGCCATGGTGAAGGCTAGTGGGGAGATAGTGCATCCAGCCATTATTCCCACTTCCAAAGATTGCCATGATGTTGTATATTCTGTTGTTTTGACACAGAATTGCAGATCTTGGAAGTAGTTTCTCACCAGGTTTGTGATGGTACTTGGGATGTGGAAGAAGTTGAAAGCTGTCCAGATCAGAGAATGAGGGACGGATCCAAAGGCGTTGGCTAGGTCCAGAAATAGGACGTGCAGGTCCCTTCCTTCCCTTTTGGCAGATTGGATTTGGTGCCATATCATGCTTGTATGTTCCAAGCATCCTGAAAACCCAGGTATTCCAGCTTTCTGCACAGATGTATCAATCAGGTTGTTTTGCTTCAGGTATGTTGTCATCCTTTTTGCAACGATGCTAAAAAAGACCTTCCCTTCCACGTTCAACAGGTTGATTTGCCGGAATTGATCGATGTTGGAGGCATCCTTCTCCTTGGGGATTACCACTCCTCCAGCTCTACGCCATGCTTTTGGAATGGTTTGCTTCGTCCACATCACCTTCATTTGCCTCCACAGGAAGCGTAAGATGTTTGGGGAGTTTTTATACAGCCGATATGGAACTCCATTTGGTCCTGGAGCTGAAGCTGCCCTTGCCTTCCTCACTGCTTCCTCGACCTCGCTCCACTTTGGAGGACTGTCATCCAGCTGGTGTTCTGGTAGAGGAATTGGTGGCATGTCTGATGGTATCTCCCTTTGTTCAAATCTTTGGCTGTCTGTGTGAGTGGTTTTCAGGTGATCTTCCAACTCCCTCTTTGGCACCTTAAGTGACCCGCTTTTTTCCTTAGTGAAGAGTCCTTTTACAAATCTGAAGGGGTCCTTGTAGAAGGATGTTCTCGCCCTTTCCTTCCTCTTGCGTCGAGTCCTGAGGTTTTCAGCTCTCCGCAATCTTCCCAGGCGTCCCTTTAGGTCTGTTTGCAGGAGGTCAATGCCCACTCTTTCCTCCATTGAGGCTCTCTTCCATTGTTTCCTCAATTCCCTTCTCTCTTTAACCAGGCACTCGATTTCTTTCTGCCTTCTGGACTTGGGAGGGGTTGTTGGTGGCATATTCTTCTTCCCTGTCTCTTTTGCTCCAAATCTTTCTGCTCCATATGAGTAGATCAGGTCTCCCATTTTCTCCAGTTTCTTCTCCACTGTTCCTTTGACTCCGTCCAAGATCTTGATCAGGTCTGCATCAATTGTAGCCCACTCTTTCTTGCTGCTGGACTTTGGCCACTTCACATGAGGTCTGTGGCCTTGCATGTTCTTCTCCAAAGCAGGTTGCAAGTGGCTGGGTTCCAAGTTCTCTGATGTTGTGCTTGAATTATTCTCAGCCTCTGGGGTACTGATGCTCAGTGGACTGTGGGTTACATCCTGCCGCTGAGCTTCACTCGCCTGACTTGACCTTTCTCTCAGAAGATATTGGTCAATGCGAGGTCCTGGCCTCGTTTTCTTCACGCACTTCATCCGGCCTTGGTGTATTTTTAGGCCTCTGATGGAGGTTACTTTGGACCAGCCACAGCTACATACTTGGCGCTCTTGTCCTTCAGCCGATGTTGTTGCTTGTTCTGTGCCGATTACTTGGTTCGTTGTCGTGTTCATTCCAGGGTCAGTTACCGGGTTGTCAGCCGATGAGTCATCTTCCGCCCCCGCTCTCGCAGACTCTAGGGGTGTTTTCCTCTTTAAACTTTTCATAGCAATGGGGGGTGGCCTTTGTCCACTTGCCAAGCGACGGAGCCTGCCATCACGGATAGCTAGTCCGTGACAGCCCCGTTGGGGTCTTTCCCTCCTGTCAGCTGTCTTTCCACGCCGTCACATGGTCTTTCCCTAGTTGTCAGCTGCCCTTTCACAGCAGTCACTGGATTTCTCCAGCTTATCAGTTGAGCTCATAGGACTAGTTATTACAATCCCTTATATCAGCACTTGGAATTGAGTGGGGGGGGGGGGGGGTAAAAGCTTCACTGGGGTCTTCAGGTGGGCACCCCCCTTCACTGGTGTTTCATTGATAGGCCCACGACACCTCCAGGGGGCTCAACGGCGACACCTGGCGTCCCAGGTGTGCCCCCTCTGCTTTTACCCCTAGGTGGTCATTTTGCAGCCCAGGTGGAGTCCTTTCTCTTGATCCAGAGCCATCTGCTGCTTCGTTCGGCAGCCTCTGATATAGATTTGATGGCTCGTCGGAAGGCCTGTCCTCGTACTCCCAATCTCTTCAGAAGCTTGGTTGTGGATGTTGCAACGAAGCCTCTGCACCCAACCTCCACCGGAAGCACCTGGGCCCTCCAGCCGCGCTTCTCTGCCTCGGCTGCTATGTCCGCATACTTCAGTCGTTTGCGCTCATATGCTTCACCAACTGCTGCCTCCCACGGTACAGTTAATTCAATGATGAACGCAACCTTCTGGGTGGTTGACCACAAGACCAGGTCCGGCCTGAGGCTAGTTGGAAGGATCTCAGGCGGAAAGATGAGTTTTTGGTCTAGGTCAACCTGCATCCTCCAGTCCCGGGCAGAGTCTAGGAGGGTTGCCTCCACTCTTGCAGATGGTTTTGCCGGTGGTTGTCCTGCTCTTACAAATGGGGTGGTGTTTGGGCGTCTAGGCATTGGTGGAGGGAGGGCATTGATGGTTGTTCTCCTTCCTTCCAGAGTGATCGCCAGTTGTCTTAGGACCTGGTTGTGTCTCCAGGTGTAGCGGCCTTGGGACAGACTGGTTTTACAGCCGGTGAGGATGTGACTCAGTGTTGCAGGTGTTTGACAGAGTGCACAAGAAGGATCTTCTCCAAACCATTGGTTTAGGTTTTTGGGTGTGGGAAGAACATCATAGGTGGCTCTGATGATGAAGCTGATTTGGCTTCCTTCCATTTCCCAAAGATCCTTCCATGTGAGCTTACGATGCTCCAGGTTTTCCCAGCTGGTCCACTGTCCCTGTTTGGACTGTGCTACTGCTGTCGCGCATCTGTTTGCCTCCTCTTGTTGCCGAACCTGAGCAACCACCAGCTTTCTCCTCTGGGTTGATGTTGCTTTGTGCCATGTGGGTCGACTTGTTCCGAGTCCAAACCCGCCTCTTCCATGCTGCACCTGTCCCACAATGTCTCCATGCCTGAGAGCAGATTTGGCTTGCTGTACCGCCTCAGATGGGTTCCATTTCCTCCCAGTTGCCAGTCTGGGAGCAGCTGCACGGATCACCTCATCTTGCGACTCAGTCAGGGTCATGTTCAGCCTCACCTTGGTGCACTTAAACTCCTCTGTGAGGCTAGAGATGGGCAGTTCCAGGGCACCATGTCCATACAAGCCGATGTTGCTGAGGCAACGCGGGAGGCCAAGCCACTTCTTGATGTATGAGCTCACTGTTCTTTCCATCTTCTCGACTTTGGTCATGGGGATCTCATAGACTGTTAGAGGCCACATCAGGCGGGGGAGCAATCCAAACTGCAGGCACCACAGTTTCAACTTGCCAGGAAGCAAGGTCTTGTCTATGCTGACGAGGCCTTTGATGGTTTCTTCCCTCAGCTGATCACTCTGGTCCGAGTCTTTGAGATGTGCGTTGTATAGTCGCCCTAGGCTCTTGACTGGCAGTTCAGACACCAATGGGATGGGTGTGTCCTTGATGTGGAACCTCTGGTCTGTGAGTCTCCCCCTGACGATGGATATGCTCCTGGATTTGCTTGGTTTGAACTTCATCCGTGCCCATGTGATGTTGGCATGAAGCTTTCCTAGCAGATGTTTGGTGCATGCAACGGTTGAGGTCAGGGTGGTCATGTCATCCATGTAAGCGCGAATGGGAGGGAGACGCTGGCCACACTTCAGACGTTCTCCACCCACAACCCATTTGGAAGCTCGAATTATCACTTCCATTGCCATGGTGAAGGCTAGTGGGGAGATAGTGCATCCAGCCATTATTCCCACTTCCAAAGATTGCCATGATGTTGTATATTCTGTTGTTTTGACACAGAATTGCAGATCTTGGAAGTAGTTTCTCACCAGGTTTGTGATGGTACTTGGGATGTGGAAGAAGTTGAAAGCTGTCCAGATCAGAGAATGAGGGACGGATCCAAAGGCGTTGGCTAGGTCCAGAAATAGGACGTGCAGGTCCCTTCCTTCCCTTTTGGCAGATTGGATTTGGTGCCATATCATGCTTGTATGTTCCAAGCATCCTGAAAACCCAGGTATTCCAGCTTTCTGCACAGATGTATCAATCAGGTTGTTTTGCTTCAGGTATGTTGTCATCCTTTTTGCAACGATGCTAAAAAAGACCTTCCCTTCCACGTTCAACAGGTTGATTTGCCGGAATTGATCGATGTTGGAGGCATCCTTCTCCTTGGGGATTACCACTCCTCCAGCTCTACGCCATGCTTTTGGAATGGTTTGCTTCGTCCACATCACCTTCATTTGCCTCCACAGGAAGCGTAAGATGTTTGGGGAGTTTTTATACAGCCGATATGGAACTCCATTTGGTCCTGGAGCTGAAGCTGCCCTTGCCTTCCTCACTGCTTCCTCGACCTCGCTCCACTTTGGAGGACTGTCATCCAGCTGGTGTTCTGGTAGAGGAATTGGTGGCATGTCTGATGGTATCTCCCTTTGTTCAAATCTTTGGCTGTCTGTGTGAGTGGTTTTCAGGTGATCTTCCAACTCCCTCTTTGGCACCTTAAGTGACCCGCTTTTTTCCTTAGTGAAGAGTCCTTTTACAAATCTGAAGGGGTCCTTGTAGAAGGATGTTCTCGCCCTTTCCTTCCTCTTGCGTCGAGTCCTGAGGTTTTCAGCTCTCCGCAATCTTCCCAGGCGTCCCTTTAGGTCTGTTTGCAGGAGGTCAATGCCCACTCTTTCCTCCATTGAGGCTCTCTTCCATTGTTTCCTCAATTCCCTTCTCTCTTTAACCAGGCACTCGATTTCTTTCTGCCTTCTGGACTTGGGAGGGGTTGTTGGTGGCATATTCTTCTTCCCTGTCTCTTTTGCTCCAAATCTTTCTGCTCCATATGAGTAGATCAGGTCTCCCATTTTCTCCAGTTTCTTCTCCACTGTTCCTTTGACTCCGTCCAAGATCTTGATCAGGTCTGCATCAATTGTAGCCCACTCTTTCTTGCTGCTGGACTTTGGCCACTTCACATGAGGTCTGTGGCCTTGCATGTTCTTCTCCAAAGCAGGTTGCAAGTGGCTGGGTTCCAAGTTCTCTGATGTTGTGCTTGAATTATTCTCAGCCTCTGGGGTACTGATGCTCAGTGGACTGTGGGTTACATCCTGCCGCTGAGCTTCACTCGCCTGACTTGACCTTTCTCTCAGAAGATATTGGTCAATGCGAGGTCCTGGCCTCGTTTTCTTCACGCACTTCATCCGGCCTTGGTGTATTTTTAGGCCTCTGATGGAGGTTACTTTGGACCAGCCACAGCTACATACTTGGCGCTCTTGTCCTTCAGCCGATGTTGTTGCTTGTTCTGTGCCGATTACTTGGTTCGTTGTCGTGTTCATTCCAGGGTCAGTTACCGGGTTGTCAGCCGATGAGTCATCTTCCGCCCCCGCTCTCGCAGACTCTAGGGGTGTTTTCCTCTTTAAACTTTTCATAGCAATGGGGGGTGGCCTTTGTCCACTTGCCAAGCGACGGAGCCTGCCATCACGGATAGCTAGTCCGTGACAGCCCCGTTGGGGTCTTTCCCTCCTGTCAGCTGTCTTTCCACGCCGTCACATGGTCTTTCCCTAGTTGTCAGCTGCCCTTTCACAGCAGTCACTGGATTTCTCCAGCTTATCAGTTGAGCTCATAGGACTAGTTATTACAATCCCTTATATCAGCACTTGGAATTGAGTGGGGGGGGGGGGGGGGGGTAAAAGCTTCACTGGGGTCTTCAGGTGGGCACCCCCCTTCACTGGTGTTTCATTGATAGGCCCACGACACCTCCAGGGGGCTCAACGGCGACACCTGGCGTCCCAGGTGTGCCCCCCTCTGCTTTTACCCCTAGGTGGTCATTTTGCAGCCCAGGTGGAGTCCTTTCTCTTGATCCAGAGCCATCTGCTGCTTCGTTCGGCAGCCTCTGATATAGATTTGATGGCTCGTCGGAAGGCCTGTCCTCGTACTCCCAATCTCTTCAGAAGCTTGGTTGTGGATGTTGCAACGAAGCCTCTGCACCCAACCTCCACCGGAAGCACCTGGGCCCTCCAGCCGCGCTTCTCTGCCTCGGCTGCTATGTCCGCATACTTCAGTCTAATTAATGATGAAAAGTTAACTTACAAATTCTTGGATGCAGCACTGAATGGGATATTAAAATGTCTTACAAAGTTAAAGGTAAGTAGTTGAAATACTAGTATTTTGTCTCATTAACCACCTCTATTTGGCTATTTGTGCATGCATACATTATAAATGGATTTTTAACAGCTTTTTAAACTTTGTTTTCTGAACCATTTCCTAACCATGCATAAGTCTAACTTTTGTTGGTAACTATCACAGAGAATCATGGGAAAGCCAATGTAGTTTCCATGCACGTATGCTCAAAACAGGCGCACTCAAAATCAAAAATTGTAAATAGGATTTATTATTTTGTTTTCGTTTCCTTCTCTATTATATATTCTGTTTTGAGCTGAAAATACAAAAACAAACACTATTTTTTTATTTTTTGGTTATACAGAAAAACAAACGAACTAGATATTGACTCATTTTTTTGTTTTTCGTTTATTTGATTGAATGGAATAATTGAATAGACGGATAATACATGAACCTGATCAGATCTGACCCAACTAATCAATATCCAATTTGTAATATTTCAGTATTAAACAGCAATAATCCTGACAATTTTTATGTAAACATTAGCCCAAAGGTGGCCTAACTGCGCATAGTTGTCTTGTATGTAGGTATTTATCTTAAAATAGTAAACATGAGTGAAAGTATACTGTACTTTTTGTTTCTGTATCCCTTGTCTCCATATTTGAAACTAATGATTTGACGAGAAATGCAGGAAAATCCTACGTTTGCAAAAAGCTGTTTACAGTCAAAGATTTTCTCTGAATATAAAAGGGAAAAGTAGGTCACAAATAGAACAGAAGCAAAAACTGCTAATTTCATGTGATAAAAGCGGTAAAAGTCGCTGGGTAAGTAGTACTTTCATTTTCTATAACTGTATTGTTGATTGTAAATAAATATAATTAATTTATCCATTCATTTCGGACTTCAGCTACAACTCTGGGAGCTGTCACCTCCAGAAGTTCTCTGATGATACAGCCATCGTCGGTTGTGTATCGTCAGGGGATGAGCGGGAATACAGGACTGTCATTCCTGACTTTGTCAACTGGTGTGGCACAAACCATCTCCAGCTCAACGCCAGTAAGACAAAGGAGATGGTTGTGGATTTCCGCAGGAGGAGGACACCTCAGACTGTTCCAGTGAACATCCAGGGTCTGGACATCGAGATGGTGGAGTCCTACAGATTCCTGGGTGTCCACCTCAACAATAAACTGGATTGGTCAACCAACACAGATGTCCTGTACAAGAAGGGCCAAAATCGTCTCCACCTGCTGAGGAGACTGAGGTCCTTTGGAGTGTGCAGGACTCTGCTCAGGACTTTCTATGACTCTGTGGTAGCATCTGCACTTTTCCATGCAGTGGTCTGCTGTGGGGCAGGGAGCACCGAGAGGGACAGGAAGAGACTGAACGGACTGGTCAGGAGGACCAGTTTTGTCCTGGACTTCTCCTTGGACTCCCTGGAGGAGCTGGGTGAGAGGAGGATGTTAGCAAAGCTTGTATCCATCATGGACAATCCCTCTCACCCACTGCTCCTTCAGCAGCAGACTGAGACTCCCACCTTGCAAGACGGAGCGCTACCGCAGGTCTTTCCTTCCTTCTGCAATAAGACTTTACAACAAACTGTAATAAAACTGGACTCACACCACCACTTTTTTCTGGTACTTAAATTGTGTGTATTGTATGTAGTTTTATTTTTCTTCTCCCTTTTTCCTTTTTCTAAATTTTTTCTTAATAATTATATTTATTTCAGTTCTTAATATAACGATCTGTCTTTTTATAACTGCATTTTTGCACTCTTTGTCTGTGATGCTGCTGTGACAAAAAAAATTTCCCCCATGGGGGATCAATAAAGGAATATTCTATTCCATATTCTATTTTATCACAGTTACAGTCGGCCATGTTTTTCTGTATTCCTGTTTTCATTTCCTGTTTGCTCAAGACGACACATCACGCCTGTCTCTTTTCTACATCCGCGCCGGTAGTGACGGGTTGTTTTCTATGTACTTCTCACTTTCACGCCAGCCTTCCAAACGCATAAATTTCAATATCAACTCCATGTAGATTTTATTTAATAAAATTGACGAATTATTTTCCGACTATTTATTTTCTGATCATCATAATTTTTGTAGATCCACTGGGTGGGACAGCGGAGGGATATATCTCTCGTCATCTATATATACCGCCCTGTCACCCTTTGTTCACTACAGTCGCCTGGATCCGGAAGAGAGTACGTTTCTCACCGTTTGGAATCATTTGCCTGTGAGTATGTCGACATTAGATCAGCAAAAAAAAAGTCCCGGTAGACATTTAACCTTTGTTGTCCTTATTTTTTCGTGCTTAACTGACATTGAATTATCTGTTGAGGTGAATGAATGTAGATCAAGCTGGAGTTACGTCAGCTGTTTTTGTGGCCCTGATGCTAGCTGTGGCCTAACCGGAAAATACACGTAACCTCGAATAATTCGACGAAATCTAACTTTAAGATAAGCGTTTTGGTCAGTGATTAACGGAGTATCATCTGTATCATGAGTTAATCGGGTACAGGTCAAATAAGAGGCCGAGAAGATGCCAAAATGAGGCCGTGAACTTCGAGTTGCATTCAGTTACCTTAGCAACGTTAGCCGGTTAGCTTCCTCTGTTTGTCTCATTACTGGAGTCATTACCGGGGGAACCATCTGGTAAAATACGTTCATGCCCGGACATGTCAACGTAATGGCGCATTTTTTCTAGGTAGCTGTGGCTAATACGGTCCTTTATGTATTACAGCGAAGCTACCAGTAGAAAGTGGCGGTTACTGGAGAATAAAACTGCGACGCTGGTCAAACACGAAACTTTACAGAGGGAAGTTTGGACAGCCACGACTAAAATGGTTGTTTTTATCTGTATCGTTTTTTCGTTAGTGTGTCAGCCTGATTCTCACATTTTTTTATAAATAACAGAAATATAGACATTTTTAGCATTGAAACTTAAGAGTTAAGTCTGGGCATACAAACACCGCTGAAATAAAATAAAACCAGGGCAATAATTTTACGCAGGTTGCCAAGGTTTCCCTTCCCTACTGTATGTGTTTACTCGGGGTGTGTCTTTCACACACACCGCCATTCCATTCTGAACACAGGGGCAGTTAACAGCAATCCATTACAGCAACTTAACTTTAAAATTTCACTTTCAGAAAGCCACAGTTAAGACTGATATGATCAGATTGACCAGATTTTATTTTCAGTTGTTATAGTGAGCCGGACAGTGTCGACCATTAAAATCAGGTCATACAACATTCATGAAACAAAATAAGAGCAGGGCAATAATTTTTACGTCGGGCGTCCAATGTTTCCCATCCCGCCGTATGTGTTTACTAGGGGTGTGTCTTTTTTACACAACCTGTTATTCTTAACACAAAGGGCAGTTACCAGTATTCCATTACAGGAACTTAACTTCAAAGTTTTACTTACAGAAAGCCTCAGTTAAGGTTGATATGATCAGATAGATAAGATTTTATATTCAATTGTTATAGTGTGTGTTAATGTATTGGACGTAGTGCAACTGACAGCAGCTCCTCAGATGTTGTCCTCTTAAGATAAAGATCCAAGGAGTGTCAAAATACTTGGAACTAAGGCTGCACGATATTGGGGAAAAAAATAGCATTGCGATTTTTTTCAACCCTGCGATATATATTGCAATATTAATAAATACAGAAATTTTCACCAGATGACCTGAATAGCACTTTATGTTGTGCTGCACTGCTGAAATCTTGAGGACAGTTAACCTGCACTGATCTTACCTCTTTTTGTGAATGTTAGTAGAATAGTTTCTGTCTGTCTCAGAGATATTTTTTGCTTTTATTGTTCTGGGACGTTATTGTGGAAACGGGTGAACACAGAAGACATGTTTTGGTCGACATTATCCATCTTGTAACCGAAATAATTCCAGATAACTGACTTTCCTTTTCTATTTGGCAACAAGTCTTCATCTTCTGTGGTTTTCTCTGTGTGTTGCTCAGTTTGCGAACGGGGTTGTGCTGAGAAATGCATGTCCTATGAGAATTGCATGCACCTCACAAAACACGCACTGCTTATAGTAGAGTGGGCCACGGAAATGTACAATTTAAAACCCATACAGTTCTTATTTGTTGGGCTAAACGGTGATAAAGAATGTTCAGAAAGTAATTCTCAGTGGACAAGCGTTTCTCGGCTCAACTCCGGTAGTGCCATCGACTCCCTCCATGTGCAGGAGTGGGTTTCCTCCTCTCTGATTTTGATTGACAGCTGGCAGAGAAGTCTGATTGGCAACTGAGTAAAGAACGAAGGTGATTGGTGGATCCCTGCACAGCACATGCAGAGTCCCATGCAGTGTCTCAGTCAGTTACCCTTGAAATTAACTGAGTTCATTCACCTTCGACATGACTATTGCACACACGTACATCGCAATGCTCAAACGATATATTGTGCAGGCCTACTTGGAACACCTTCTGAGATAAAGCACTACAGTTCACTTTTAAGGAAATGCAACTAAACAACTAAAGGCCTGCAAATCACATCCCTTTACAGAAGAGCGATCTACTAGCAAAGCGTTGACTGCTTTGCATGAACTTCTGCGACAGGTGGTGTGTGTGTAGTTTTTTTACTGTAATGATGAAAACATCTGATACTTGTAAATGACTTGTTTTCTCTTTTTAAAAACCCCCCACCCAACCCCTTTAGTGTCAAGATGCAGATCTTTGTGAAGACCCTGACTGGTAAGACCATCACCCTGGAGGTTGAGCCAAGTGATACCATTGAAAACGTCAAGGCCAAGATTCAAGATAAGGAAGGCATCCCTCCTGACCAGCAGCGTCTGATCTTTGCTGGCAAGCAGCTGGAAGATGGCCGCACCCTGTCTGACTACAACATCCAGAAGGAGTCTACCCTGCATCTTGTCCTCCGTCTGAGGGGAGGTATGCAGATCTTTGTGAAGACCCTGACTGGCAAGACCATCACCCTGGAGGTTGAGCCAAGTGATACCATTGAAAACGTCAAGGCCAAGATTCAAGATAAGGAAGGCATCCCTCCTGACCAGCAGCGTCTGATCTTTGCCGGCAAGCAGCTGGAAGATGGCCGCACCCTGTCTGACTACAACATCCAGAAGGAGTCTACCCTGCATCTTGTCCTCCGTCTGAGGGGAGGTATGCAGATCTTTGTGAAGACCCTGACTGGCAAGACCATCACCCTGGAGGTTGAGCCAAGTGATACCATTGAAAACGTCAAGGCCAAGATTCAAGATAAGGAAGGCATCCCTCCTGACCAGCAGCGTCTGATCTTTGCCGGCAAGCAGCTGGAAGATGGCCGCACCCTGTCTGACTACAACATCCAGAAGGAGTCAACTCTTCACCTGGTGTTGCGTCTGAGGGGAGGTATGCAGATCTTTGTGAAGACCCTGACTGGTAAGACCATCACCCTGGAGGTTGAGCCAAGTGATACCATTGAAAACGTCAAGGCCAAGATTCAAGATAAGGAAGGCATCCCTCCTGACCAGCAACGTCTGATCTTTGCCGGCAAGCAGCTTGAAGATGGCCGCACCCTCTCTGACTACAACATCCAAAAGGAGTCCACCCTTCACCTGGTGCTGCGTCTGAGGGGAGGAAACTAATTCTTCATCCCTCCCATCTGAAGCCACATAATGCTGCACCAGCCCCTCCAGATCCAGCTGGCAGCCATTCCTTTTTTCAAGTTTTAATAAAGGTTGAGCATTCCTGACTTTTGCTTTTAGTGACTTTTTTTTATGACACTTGATGTGATATTTGACTTTGTTCATTTAAAGCAAATACATTTTGAGAATGGTTTGCTGTGTTTTAAAGCGTTATGAACTTAAGTTTTAATTTAGATGGTTGGGTTAAAAGTTATGTTGCTCACAGCTTTGTCATTCTAACCAGAGCTCATACATGCAGATGTTAACAGATGTTGATCCTAACCAATAAAATGGCTTCACACTATGACCTTGTTGTTTTGTTTTAAAAATGAAATGGTTGGCTCACACTTGAGTTCACCTCAGATTAAACAGCCCTACATGTTCTAATACTTAAAGGTTGTACTATATGGTAAGAAGTCGAGTAAGGCTAAAGTAATGTGGACTGCAGGAAAATATTGCTGTAGGACTTTTGTGATAATTATGGGAGTCACCTTTTAAGACTGATTAAATCCTTAAAATATATAAGAATATAAAAAGTATATATAATATAAAAATATAAGAGACTAGTATCAACCTTGACTGAAGTGCCACACCCTGGTTTTATCACATCTAATATGCCTTCACTGTTGTAGACAATTTGCATTGAGTTTTCCCTTTGGAATTATGTATCCTCAATGGTTGTCATGTTTTTCCTATCACTTGCCTTATGAAATCTGTCAGTAGTGCTTTTATCATTTTTTTACATTTTATTAAAATGTAAATATTAGATGTATGCACTAATACTTTGAGGGAAAATTGAAATACCTGTATAGAGTTAAAAGTACAACATGTGCATTAAGTTCCTTTAAAACTAAACGAAGACCTCATGAGAACCAAGCACATTTCAGAAGAATAAAGTCACATTTGGAGATTAAATTGCTCTAATGTTGTAGATACAGTGAACTCGAAATTTATCAATATAATTGATTGTGTCAATAATAAACAAAAGCAACTTTTAAAAAAAGAGGGAGAGGAAGGTGTTAAATGGAATATAAAAAAATGAATACGATTAAAATATCCAACGTGATGTACGCATTGACGCCAGTGAAAGTGACCGTTGACACAGACTGTGTCGACCGTTGGAAAAATTTGAGGGAACTGTGATGAAATGCGTCGACAAAGGAAATTAAATGTACATAAGTGGCTCATTCGAAAGTGTGAGAATTACAGTAAGCAACAAGTCGCTTCAGTTTAATGACCCAGTTATGTATGTTGCCACCTTGTTTCCCCCTTTTTTGAAATATTAGACAAGTACGCGGGCTCGGCGGCCCAGGTAGCAAGCTAACTATAGCAGTTAGCAAGATCGAGAAATCATGTTGTAGATGTCGGTGGTAAACAACGGTGAGAAGGTGGCTGTATAGGAGGACTGTCCGGCCAACCAGCGAATATTGCAAGTTTATAATGTTGGCTGAAAGTCAGTTTGTTCAATAAACCTAATTAAAGATAGCTAATGCTCGCGGTAGACTGGCTAGGTCAAGTAGTGCTGTTGCCGTGGTAACTTGAAGAGGGTCCGTGTAAGGTGATGCCACGGACTGTAGATCAATGAACGTTTTTTTATATTCAGTCTTTGGGAAAATACCGCTATGAAAATTTTCATTAGTTTTATACTGTTTAAGACAGAATTTTTAGTCTGGAATATCAGTTTGTTTTACAGTAATTACAAATGTTTGTCATGAAAGTGTAGCCTTTTAATTTGAACATGCCCAGTTTAGTTTTGATTTTTATTAACTTTCATTTGTGTTTTAAAGCACAAGATCAAAAAGGGCCAGAAAATGTATTATCGGGGTAAAACCTGAGCTATTAAATACTCAGGGCTCTCAAGTTTTGAACTAAGCTAAGAGTGAGATTTCCTTGGGGTATGAGGGAAAAAAAAACGTTTTAAATCTTCAAGAATAAAGTTATTATTGAGGAGAATAAAGTCATTAATATATAAGAATAAAGTCGTAAAGTTACCTGTTGTGCAGGAGAGTTGTTAAAATCAGCACTGTGAAGCATTTAGATGAATTGTACTTTAGTATAGGTTTCACAAACATGGAAATACTTAATCCTTTGGTACATGAGCATTACACTGTCAAAATGACAGTACACACTGTGGACTGCATGATCACCATCTGGTGTGAAAGGCAGTTCACTGTGGTCATTCTTTGAGTTGTAGGAGGAAATCAGTCCAGAGCAGCACCAGGTGTGTTAGTACCTGATTGGCTTAAGTGAAGTCAGGTTTGGGAAGGTGATACAAGTCCTTGAGCTCCAGTGCAGAGTGCTGAATCATTGTCTTATTCTCTGTTTTAGTGACAGATTCTCTCTGTGCTCCTCAAAGTTCCGACCACAGACTGTATATACTATGGACAACTTGGTTCTGCCTTCTGCCAGTATACAGATTTAAAGCTGAAAAGCTCTCGGAAATTGTGCGTTTTTCTCCACGTCCTGAAACCAACATTGCACAGTAGTGTTGTACGCATTCTGCGGGATAGTCACAGAGAGTTGCTGTGATGATGCTCAACTCAAACAGCACATCCCCCAGGTGAGCTATGCAATCTCCGTACGCCCACAGGCTGTATCAAGTGTCAATCATAGGAAACATGAACCCCCTAATAACTTTTGAAAATAGAGCTGTACAGAAAAAAGAGGACTTGAGCACAAAACAGTCTTACAGTAACTACACGTCAACATCGCAAGCAAGGGGAAAAAATCTGTTCTGTGTGATTAATTTCTAAAATTTGTCCTCAGCCTCTTAAGGATGGCTGACAGGGATTTATGACCTATACTGCAGCCGTCACCAGAGGGTGCTGTTCTCAGAGTGGCTTCACCCAGCGAGAAGACGGACACTTTCCGTTTTGATTTCCACTCCCCGTTGGGGAATCGAACCCCGGTCTCCCACCTAACAGGCGGGGATACTCACCACTATACTAATGAGGAGAATGTTATTGTTATAAAATGCTATTGCTATTAACAGCTGTATTGATGAATTTAGCCTCTGTACAGCCATTTCCAGCCATTTTCCCCTCCACAAAAGCAGCATTTCTCATATTTTTTTTTAAAAGTTCTGATACTCATGACAGTGTAACGTTTATGTACCAAAGGATTAAGTATCTCCATGTTTGTGAAACCTTACTAAAGTACAATTCATCTAAATGCTCCACAGTGCTGATTTTAACAACTCTCCTCCACAACAGGTAACTTTACGACTTTATTCTTATAAATTAATGCACCCATTCTTGAGAGTCGGGACAAAACATGTCCTACATAGAAAAGTCTAATTTATTCAAAACAATTAAGAAATTCCAAATGTTTGACATACTCAAAAAGTTAAATCTAACAGATTTGTGCATCCCAATCCTATTTTTTAGCACAGATATTTACTTTTCTGGGGGATATTTGTTTAAATGAATCGTCTGTGGTTAGAAGGTCCATGTTATTGCTTGTGTCCTCAGCAAGAGGTAACAACATTGACCAGCCCCAAAAAACTTTAAAAAACTCTACAATTGTGAAAACATATACATCAAATAAAAATTCAGGGCTATAAATATATAAAACAATGCATGGCCTGAACATCAAATAACTTTTTGCCTAAAAATCTGCCTATCAAAGTTGTGTCCTCAGTTTCTGTCAACTCCATCAGATTATTCTATAAACCTCATTAAATCATGCAATATCATGGTCAGCTATATCCCTGAGCACCCCTTTTCATTTCCTGCTTCTGGTGAATGCAACACCACCACACATGGTCTGGTAAGTTTTACAGTTTTTGATATTTTAGACAAACAATGTCAATATTTGTATGGTCACAGCTGGACCATGTCAACACCGTCTCTCCGTTATTATACTTTTTTTTAAACCATAGTGAGTTCAATGAAAGTATTATAGTGAGAATATCAGGACAGCTAGCAACTGCCAAAAAAGTACCTAGCTGCGCTGTACAATATATGTTTTGGAGGGAAAATACATGCCCTTATGTCAACTCCGTCAGACGTCAACTCCGTCAGATTTTGTGTCTGACGGAGTTGACGTGTAAGCTGATGGAGTTGACAAATCCACCTATAACCTCTTAATGTGCTGACATTATGCTATTATTGAACATGCTTAAGGAAAACAATGTTATTCCAGGGTCTTTTCTGCACATAAAAGTACATATATAGCATATATTACGTTATTTTACCATATACTTCTGACTTGTAGAGTAGACCATGGGCAGGCTGTCTGCTTAATTATAACTTTCAAACTTTCCCAACACACACACGCACACACACACACACACACACACACACACACACACACACACACACACACACACCTTATATCATTGATTGACTGATTAATGTACATTCCTAAAGGTGCAGTGTGTAGTTTTCACTACTGAAAATCTACACACTGGCTTCTTATAGAGTGCGCAAGAAGTTCTATGTTGCTCTTTTAAACCCCAGTGTAGGTGGGATACCAGACAGAAGAAAAAGGTTATTGTTTTTATATTGTTAACTTGGACCATCAGACCTTGGGCTCTATTTTCGTGTCCGCCGGCGACATGGCGGAGGGTGGCGAATCCCGCGCAGTGGTATTTTTTGTCTGTCAGAGCTTGGCGTACAGCCAGTTTGGTATTTTCGTGGACTGAGGTGCACCGAGGTCCGCCAAGCTGGGCGTGGATGTGTGGCAGGGGGAGGTGTCCACAGAATCAGCTGGCGCAGTGACATTTTCGTGCTCGCTGCCGGCGTGTAAAAGGCGCTGAAAGCTCGCTGATTCAAACCTGGTCAGCTTTCAGCGCAGGTGGAGCCGGATGGGCTAGTGGTATTTTGGGAGACCAGCGGCATATCGGCCTCACCAGTAGGTTTCCACAGTGTCAGGAACATTTCCGTGCAATAAATAATCAATAACAACTAATAATCTGAGTTAGCACATACTTTGGATCTATATAGATATATTCTGATCTATATCTGATCTGATGAGCGCATTTGGCATGCGTTTGGACACTCAACCTGACCGAATCAACACAGCTGAAACCACATTAAATTAAATATCTAGTAAATAGACACACATGATGAAGTTAACAAGATATTTAATTTGTCTCCCCCCATTTTATCTTCCTCTTTCTCTTATTTCTCGCGCAGCTCGACCTGGACATGTCTCCGTGTCCTCTCTCCGTCCTGCTGCAGCTGCTGCTGCGGTGGCTGAACAGATGATTTGTTTCAGTGATCAGATGAGTTTTTTACTTTAAGCGGACATACGGATATTATAATATTCAGTTTTGTGAGCCAAATTTATTTTATATGCCAACATCTATGAAAGAAAGAGCCAGGCCACGGAGCGCAATTTACACACAGATGATTTTGATTTTAATGCCATTATTGGAATTTATGATGTGATCTGTGCGCTCAACCCACCTTTGTCATGTGAGGTTTGAATATGTGCAATTTAATGTGATTGTCTTTATTTGTGGAAAAGGATGTTTGTCTTACCAGTGGGTCCAACATTACACACACCAAATCCATCTGTGCTTATACGAGACAGTGTGCAGGGCGCCCTCTGCAGCGCTTACAGCGACACTTGTTGAGGGGCTGCCTTCTGTCACCATCGTGTGGCATTGCTTCAGACATCCCTTGATCTCTTTGACTACTTCACGAAAATTGTAATACGCCTTGCCAGTGGCGGATTCACAGGCGAGAATAAGAGCTGATGTTATTGGTCAATACAGGTTTCGGCTGTGTTAAACCCACTCCACGCCCTCTCTCCTTCCTCCCTATGACTTACGCCGCTGGGAGGAGCTGAGTTAGGGAGGGGGGATACTTATGCCAGGCTGCGCCACTCACCAAAACACGAAAATGTGCTTGGGAACGCCTTGTCGGCACGGCGGTTAATTGCATTAACGATATGTTCAGTATGAAAACAAGGAGTTATTAGTTCTTAATCTATTTTCACCTATTGACCTATTGTCAATCGGTTTAAAAACACATTTGTTCAATAACATATGCAACGTCATCAACTCCGTCAGTTTCTCGTCAACTCCGTCAGATGTTCCTCAACACCGTCAGATGTATGTTTTTCTTAATTTTTGGAGAAAAAACAAATTGTTTCTTCAGTTTATATTGTTTAAGTAATAAAGGAGCATTGGCTCTACTTCCTCTTGTCTCTTATTTACTTACGGAAATTGTTTTTATAATACAAAAATTAAAAACAAAGTTTGAAAATGCAACTATTTAGAAATCTTGGTTTTCAAAATAGTGTAAAATCACACATTAGGTTTATATATTATATTTCATGGCATATCAGAGTAACTAAACACTATTACAACATACATCAGAACTCTAGATTCTTGTTGGACTAGAATTATTAAAATTATATTATTTTTAGTGTGTCTGATGGAGTTGACACAAACCCACTGTCTAAGGGAAACATTTTAATTTATAGAAAAATTGTTTTTATTTGGAGCCTGTTCCTTTACGGGGTTAAATAGCTAAGACCGTTCTCTACAGTAATAAATAACTCTAATCAATATAGTGTGCATTCTCAAAAAAAGTTTTTTAGGAAGTGTTTTGTCCCGACTCTCAAGAATCCCTGAATGACTTTATTCTCCTAAATAATAATTTTATTCTCTAAGATTTAAAAATGTTTTTTTTTTCTTAATGTGGCCGTCACACTCTGTTGTATTTAAGAGATTTTTATACTAATAATTATCATCAATCACTCCTCACCCCCCCCAAAGAAATCTCACTCTAAGCTTAGTTCAAAACTTGAGAGCCCTGCAATAGCATAGGGCTTTAGTTTATCATATGAGTTTATCTGCCATGAGGTGTTGAGGTCTCTGCATGTGTCGGTTACTGACTTACTGTAATCATCGGGTCTATCTCGTCTTTATAAAAACCTGCTCTATTTCTACCCGGATACAGACATGCTGCTTTTTGAGTGGCTGTTCGGTAGATATACTTTATTTGATTGGCTTGCGCGTGGCACGCAGCTTCTGAACTCTCAGAGAAACTCAGTTGATTTCTACCTGTTCCATTGTTAAAGAGGTGCAACGTGGTGGACATCACCATGTTCATTTAAATGCGTGAGAAATACAATGTGTGGCGTGCGAGTGTGTAAACAGGTGGGAATGCGTGTGTCACACGCTGAATGCGTGAGACTTGAGAGCCCTGAATACTTCTAGGCACCCGAAATGCTTAATTTTGTTATTTGCAATTTCCAGCGAGCACACAGTCCTGGTCAGGTAAAGCCTCTTAACGCAGGTCAACATCTAACACAATTATAAAGATAATAACAGCAAAATTAATTTGTCTTTTTCCACTTCTGATGTATGATCACAGCTGACTGGTAATTTGCTTGGTTATTAAAAAGCTAGCATCAATTTAGTCCTGACAAAACAAACCAACACAATCAAACTTTAAATGCTGTTTTATTACATTTTTAGGGCTTTGTTTCCATTATGCACGTAAGTCATGAAGTATGTCACTTCTCTCTACCATTCTTTCAACGCGTAAGAAAAAAAAAACAGTAAGCGAACAACGATGATCAGCAGTACTGATGACTAACACAGGTTCAGAGGGGATTCGTGCATTTTCATTATGAACACATTTTGGTTGTTTCTTTGCTAGTTGTTGTCACTACAGGAGGCTGGTTTCTCAAAGCATCTCAAAGATCTGGCCCAGAAGGTTAGAGAGGTTTATGTTGGGTAGTTTCATAATTCACAGGGGTGCTAATTGATAGAAATCATATTTTGATGTTTGGAGGAGCTGTTTATTTGTGCTTACAATTGAATTTACACCTCAACATGGAGAGATTTCAGGGAGATTGGGTTATTGAAAGTATGCAACACATTGCACCTTCTGTTTATGATTGTGTGTATGTGTGTGCGTGTGTGTGTTAGTACTGAAGGATCACACCTGTGTGTCTAAAGAACAGTCTCAGCACACTGGTCAAGAAAGTAAGGGTGCAGTTTTGGGTGAAAGTGTCTTTGTATTATAGGTGGAGGTGTGGGGCGAGAGGGGTAGAGGATCTGGTGGTGATGGCGATGGTGGTGATGATGATGGTGTTGTGGTCTAGGGTAGAGGCCAGACTCCTCATAGTCTGAATCCACCTGGATGCTGACCTGGGGCATGGGCTGGCGTGGAGGCAGGTGTGGCGGAACATCCCCGGAGGCAAGGCTCGTCTGGGAGGGGTTAGGCGAGGGGGGGCAGGAGATCTTCAGGTGCAGAGTGATGCTGGGAAAGAGTGGTGGAACCGGCCTGGTTACACTTTTACTCTACATTGTGCACATCCAGTACACTGAGTTTCCAGTTTATTAGGTACAACTAGCTGGTGCAGCTAGCTGTGGTTTGGACAGCTGTGTGTGAGTGTAACATAGGACTGCATCAGTTTAGCTGTGCCTTAGATACTGGCAGCTGAGTGTACTGTGAAAATTCAAGGGCTAAACATAACACATAAATAGAGGAAATGATGATTTAAGATTTGAAAAACATTAAAACATTTAAGGATATAGATTGTGTTTTTTTATGTTTCTCATTATAGAAAGCAAAAAAAAAAAAATCATTCTGCCTTGTTACTTGTTGGGCTTTCTAATTGCCCTAGAGGGCGCTGCTCTGCAAGCAATGAAGTAACTGAAGCTTTCAGAGCATTTCAGACTGAAGAGGGGCAGGAGATTTTGGATAAAATACGACTACATTTCCAAGTCCCCTGTAGTGTCAGTTCTGTACGAACTTGAGCAGCACTTTGTCTATTGTGTTCTCTGGTAATTTTACAATCCCAGTTCCACAAAAGTTGCTTGCGTAAAGTTTTGATCAAACCTAAATCTTGAATTTGAGGCAGCTTAAACAGTTGGAGCAGTGACAACAAAACTCTGAAAAATATTATACAATGCCAAAAAGCTTCTCCCAGCCAAGTTAAATGAGAGAGACTGCATGAGTCTCTCACAATTTCAGAATATGGTCCTCAGCATACAATTAAAGAGAGTTTGTGAATGTCATCACCGACAGTACATTAAGACTCTCAAAAGCATGAGGATTCTTTTCATGTTTGTATTGCTGAGGTGAACTATAGAAAATATAGGCTCTGCAGATTGGTCCAAATGTCTCTGTAAGCCTCTTAAAAGTATTAGTATTACTTGTAGTCCTGTAATAAACAACCAAAATCACAGCAGGAGTGTAATGTCATGAGAGACTCAGGCAGGCAAACATGATTCAGCTTGAAGCCATGCAGGAACAGTGACAAGTGTGAAGTGCTTAAGAAGATGCAAGGTGGTGCTGCAGTACTCTCTGTTGCACTGAATCAGTATAGTGTGTGTGTTATTACACTTTAATGAGAGAAGGAAACAGCTGCTGTTATTCAAAAGAAACAACCAAAATCCTATCATAGCCAATTCCTAGGGTCACATATTTGTACAGACTAATGAGCAAACAGTAAGGGTGTTTTATACACCGTTTTAGAAATTTTTAAATGTATATATTAGTATATCAAGGCCAATCTGATTTATGAGCTGTTATTTTCTTTTTCCTTTATTGCTAAATATAAATTCACCACTGCATGCCTCACAGTTGAAAAGTAGTTGAAGGTTTTTACACCAAAAATCACTTTCCGTACAACAACCATCTACAACAGCCCCTGCAGTAAAACAACAGCAAATTCTCAAAGAGGAGCATATTACAGAGTACCCATGATGAAATGAAAAACAGGACTTGGAGATGATCTAGTTTACATGTGAAAATCATTCAGCTGCACCTCCTATCTTAAACAGAGAGTAAAAAGAGTGATTCTGCATCAAACACATGAAGTACTCAGAGTACTCATTAATATTATAGTCATTGATGCAAAAATGTATACATCAACTTGGTTATACACTTATAATTAAATTACTTTTTATATGACTAGGATAACACATAAGTGGTTGTATTTTGTACAAATAATCTTAATCTGTAAAGAAATTAAAGCTGTCAGATGTATGTAGTGGAGTAAAAATTACAGTATTTACACTACCAGTCATGAAGAAGATGCATAAATTAAAAACATGTAAGACAGCTCTACAAATCTCTGACATCTCTGCTGCTTCAACTCAGGAAAACCAAAAAATAATCAGCTTTGCAGAGAAGGATGACATTCCAGCTATCTTAGTGAGAACTCCCTGAAAAGAAATATTAACAAGCTTTCAACCCCATCAACTCACAAAATAAATATTTACAAAAGGTGTTTGGATAAAGACATCAAATAAATCAATCTCATGATTCCCATAGGCTACATTCACCATTTTATCCTCTCTCAGCTAACGCTACCAAACAGTTGTCATAAATATCCAAATCACTGACAAAAGGTCCAAAATTCAAATTTGCAAATTTGCACAGTTTTAATCAAATGTTGGATCTAATGCCTGATTTATTGTTTTGGCAGAGACACGATTTCACTGGCAGCTCACTTACATAATGTAACACATTTTGCAACAGAGGAAAATTAAAATAATAATCTGTCTAGATATGCCAGGATCTACAGTGTTTAGAGTATTTACATCTGAAGACTACCGCAAGTGGGGCTGAATCAGAGTACAGATCCAGAGCAGGGGTTTTCAAGTTGTGAGGTGCCTTACTGGAGGTTTCAGGGGGGCGTTGGTGGGACAGTTTCATACAGCTTTTCTGAAATCCAGGAAGACGGTGTTGTTAGTTTTTCCAAAGTTTTTCTTACTTAGAAATGAGGTCAACGGCAGCAGCTTTACTTCTGACTCACTGCTCACCGAAGAAAAAAAAGTACTTAAAATAAACCTTAAAAAATGTCACTGCTATCCATCACAATTCAGTGAAATCTGAGCTCAGGCAATTAAACAGCTTCTGGGCTTTCAAAATGTGCAACTTTCACTTCTGGGAACACAGTTACTCATACATCCACCATCCAGAAATGCCCAAAAATCTGTTCAGAAGTCAGGGGGGGAAATCGTACCCTAACTTTGGATTTTGTCTGAGAATAATTACGTTTGTTGGTTTGCTTTAGTATCAAAATTATTAGCAGTCTGTATACCCAGGGTTTCACTGGAGTCAGGGACTGCTAACAGCTAATTTGGCATGCTGAAATTGATGCTGTATTAAATTAAACAAATAAAGGCTTAAAAATCTGGGCTCAAGTCAAAGCCCAAAGCATTATCCATTGTAATATGAGTCCTGTTTATTTCTCTCCATAGTTTCATGAGGGTAAAAAGTAGAGTTATGAGGAAGGGGGTGTAGTGTGGTGCGGGCACAGTGTCAACTTTGAAAACCCCTGACTGAGAGTGTGTGCGACTTCTACTCATTAAACATTCACTGCATTGTGCACAATCCTCGCTGTGATAACCCCTATCATATTTGAACATGCCTGCACTGTGAAAACAAAAACACCTGAAATCATCTTCCAAAAAGAGATCGAAATGATGCAGCAGCTGTATTTGTAGGTCATAAATGAAGATTTGGGTTGTCTGATGGTGTCAGGTTTGTTGTTTCAGCCAGTGTATGGGTCAGGTGGGTTAATCAGATCCCTGAAGGGCACGTGCAGTTTCAGCACACAGTACCTGCGGTCTAATTCGTTTTGATCAGACGTGACTGTCGAGTATGGGTTGGTCTCCTGTAAGAAAAACACCCAGAACGCAGACACAGGACAAGAACATATGCACACACCAAACCAAACAAACAGCATACCCATGCATAAACATGCATGCACAGTTCAACACAGATACAAAGACAGAGACACAGAAATGGTAGAGTTGAACAAATCTATAAAAAAAACAGAATCTGTTTCATGATGTGTACAGAAGTGTAATGATCACAACCAGTCTATCTTCAGAGGCAGTTCTGAACCACTGACCTGCAGAGTTAACTGTGAATGTGTTCTATATGTTTACAGACAGGATTATTGTGCAGTAAATAAAAAGCATGAAGAGCTGTGTTGACTTCAGTCTGCCTGCACGTATGCACACATTCCCTGTGTCAAATTCATGGTTCTTTTTTCATCTTTGACTACGAATATAACCACAGTACAAGATTTGTTTTAGATGTGTAGATGTTTATAGCACCCGGTGGCCATTTGTTGACGTGAAAACCACCAAAAGGAAGGGTGGGGGAGCAATTTCAACTCCAGTTACAGCAAAAAGATAATGATTTGAACATGGATCCATAAAAAAAAACTTGCTTCTCTCTTTAGGGAACAACTTTCATTGCATTTGTGGTCTTAATCTGGTTTTAAACCCTTATTTTGTTTATTATGGTAGATAATAATAGACATCCACATAGGGCATCCTCTGGATCAGTCAGTGACATGAATTATAACTGCAGTTTTATCAGTGAAGTTACAGCAATTATGCCAAACTGCTCCTTTAGCTGGATGTAAACAAGCTCAGGTGTCACATGTTATGTTGTATTGTGTAGGGCCCGACCAATATGGAAAAATCTGATTACCAATTTAATCGGCCAATTTTCAAAATTTTTTATGAAGTTATAAAAAATATATATTAGTTATAAAAGTTATAAAAATAACTTTTAGAACTGGTCAGGTCTCATCTGGAGACATGCAGCTGCCTCAATAAGAGAAGTAGCTCGATCACGTAATGTGTACTGTTGTTTATTCTACCGTTATTGGCATGGCTAACAGTGTAGCAAGGCTAATAGCAGGTGGCTAACTCTAACTTTAGCTTGCATATTACATGGTGCTTCACCGTTAACTCAGCGTGACCGAGACCAGCACAGCGGGGAACATCGTGAAGTGGGTTGAACTGAAACTTGTTGACTTATTGTGTACTTCACATACTGGTTTATTTACCGTTGAGGCGGACCACTCTCCTCTGTGCGTCCCTGAGCTGCCTGCTTCAGATCCGTCACTCTGCTGTACTGTGAGGTAGTTAGTGGATGAAGATTGTCATGAGGTCGCTATGCCACCTACAGGATAAGTCGGGGAACTTTTCAAATGGCAGAAGATTTTCAAAGTGAAACCGAATCTTAGTCTCCGCATTTTATTTCTGAAAATATCGGTGAAAATCAGCAAGTTTTGGCCGATTGCTGATTAGTCTCAAACGGGCTAAAATTGGCCTATTTAATCGGCTCGCAGATAAATCGGTCGGGCCCTAGTATTTTGGTGCCATTTGTCAGTATTTTCATCGAGAAAATGAAGAGAAAGTTGTGTGTAGACTGTTTGTGGTTAAACTAGCATATTAAATGACATAGGATGATGACAGCAGCAGCAAGACAAGGGTGCTGAAAACTAAAAAAAAGTAAATCACAACAACAGCTCAGCCATTGACTCTACTTTGATGGTGTCTGTAACACTCAGTTTTTACAGCATGTCAGATTTGTTGTGATAAATCATCTGAGGAATTTGCAGGTCCTAGCAGGCCATTGGTCAACAGGCAGCATCTACCAAAAATCTCTATTAACACTCCATCCCTTAGATTTAGTGAACAACATTAAATACCAAAAAGACTAACGGACACAACAAGAGATGCAGGAGGGGTCGGTGTTGGTGTACTCACAATCAGAGGGTTGGTTTGGGGTAGGTGGGCGAGCATTGTCTGGAACTGGCTCTGTTTGGGGCTCTATGGCCTCCATGGAGATCTCCACTGGAGGGGGGGGGGAGCTGAAAGGCTGAGGGAAACAAAAAAACAAGCAGGAAGTCGTCTGCATGCAGAACAAGCAAGGGTTTTTGTATTTTAAAGAGTAAGACTAGAAATGTTGAGTGTTTTTGTCATCTGTGGGTTCTGGTTCCCCTCTCTGATCATAGCTGTAGTTGGATAGCATTCTAGCAGTTAGCATGCTAGTTTAGCCGTCTATAATCCCGATCACTAGTCCAGACTGGGGTTTTAGTTAGCCTGTATTTACCAACCTTTGACAGGTCTCACAAGCAGTAATCTGACAGATATCATGTCACGTTTTCCTGTTTGACACCACAGCAGAGAGCAAACAGGAGGATCTGTCAGGGTGAGTTAAATCAACAGGTTCTAAACACAGACTGTATAAAGAATGGACAGAGTCTGCCTCTTTGCTGGGTGAAGCCACTCTGAGAACAGCACCCTCTGTCGATAGGCTGCAGAATAGATCATAAATCCCGCCTCCGCCAGCTAAGTTTATGGAGCTGTGGCCAAACTTTAGAAATTTATTACACAGAACATAAATTTTTCTCCCCCCTGCTTGTGATGTTGACATGTAGTTACTGTCAGACTGGTTTGTGCTCAAGTCCTCTTTTTTCTGTGAAGCTCCGTTTTTAAAAGTTATCAGGGGGTTCATGTTTTCTTTGATTAGCACCTGATACGGCCTATGGCCGTTCAGGGATTGCGTAGCCCATCCGGGGATACGCTGTTGCGTGCATTGCTGCTGTGCAGCGCTGGTTTCAGGAAACGAAGACAAATCCCGGAAATACAGAGAGCTATTTGGCTTCAAATCCGTATACAGGCGGTAGGCGGAACCAAGTTGTCCATAGGTCTATGGTTCTAAAAGAAGAGGATAAAATGCAGCAGAACTAGAACCTCTGTTTAAGGAAGAGGAAAAAGTTGATTCCCTGATGGTGAAAGGAGGATGAACAGTCAGCCTCAGCTTAATATGTGTGAGGGACTACATAGTCAGTGCACACCAGGGCTCGACGGTATGACCGTTTCACTCGCATTTGTGACTAAAAAAAGATGTGTGCGAATTATAAAATGTATTTAGGGGCAAATGTGGGCATAAAAAGAATCAGCGGAGGCAACAAATATTTTTTCATGTAAATACCGCGGTGAATACCACCATTAGGTTGGATATTCGACAGACATTCACCGAGGATCTACCAGTGTCTTCTCACTCCCCATAACCGGGAATAACAACAGCAGCGCGGGTAAATCTACTCTGTCAACGTTGGGTGTTGAATGAGGGACCATCAATAAATTACCGGTTGATGTTCTCAAAAAAAGGCTGTTTTCCTTCAATAGCTTCCATGTCATGTGACCAATTTACTTAAAATTGATTTTAAAAATAGTACTCATCTGGACCAATAAGACACATTGTTTGATCAATTTTCATTGTGCCCCTAAAGTTCTTCGTGTGCTCCTAACTTTTTCAATTTAGGAGCACATGTGCTCCTTGTGAAAAAGGTTAGTGTCAAGCCCTGCACACTGTGACGATCCACCTAACAGTCAAGTTGAACAGGATTAGGTCCAGGGAAATTTTCACCCCACTGAGTGATGGGGGAGACGTGGACTCTGAGCCAAGTCAGAGTTCTCTTTTAAGTCCTTTCCTCAAACAACTTTGACGTTGTGGCTTTTCTGACTCACTGTAATCATTGTTGTCATCCAACCTTCTCAAATCTTTAATTGCATTTCAAGAGTTTGATGTACTTTTCTTAAAGGTTTGTAGCTTTTTTACAAATAGTGATTTTTATACGAGTGAACACAGCAGCTGAATTGACCTGAAAACCAGACCTCTAAACATAATGAGATTTTTGACAAAAAAGAACAGCTGTAGTCTTATCCTTCAAAAAGAAACCTGAATGGACAACAGTATTGTCTAACATGCAAACACCAGTACTTCAGTGCACATAGAGGGAGAGACCAGTCTTTTTAGAAGAGGAGGAGACACATATAAAGACTGTAGTAAGTGTTATACAGTGCCTTTTCAGCAACACTGTGGGACAGAGAGGAGAAACAGACAGTATTAGTCAGAAACACAAACCAAGGAATGACACCCAACAACAGATGGAGTGACACACAAATGAATGCACAATAAAAATACAGAAAAGAGTCTCGCTCGCCAAATGAGGAGATCACAGAGGCAGACTGGTATTCTTGTGTACCCATGTACTGCGTAATCTCATACTTTCCCCACCTCCTCATCGCTCTCTGGCTCTGCCCCCTTCTTCTCCTTCTTTTTCTTCTTGTCATCTTCCTTTTTCTTCTTGTCTTTGTCTGGCAGGATGTCGTCCAGCCAGGCTAGGTCGTGTTGTGAGAACATCAGATCCAGAAGCTTTCGCACAACCATCAGACCAAGAATCTGGACACAGCAAGAGGGACAGCAGACTTTCAACATGCTGAGAGATATCAGGAACCACCACATCAGTCACTTCACGTGTTGTAGATGTTCTATTAAGCACAGGTCCAGACCAGCTTCACACAAAGTACACCAGATCACTGCAAAACCCAAGGCTCGATTCCAGTATAACATCGAAGTAAGAAAGTTATTTATTTACATGTACCAGGAAATAATCAGCAATGTGGCTCTGTGCAGAGAGCTCCCTGTCTTTCCACATGTTTACATGGAACCCGAAAGTACAATGTGGGGAAAGCATGGACATGAAATATAGTATAGTACAAAACCCAATTCCATTGAAGTTGGGAAATTGTGATAAACGTACATAAAAACGGAATACAATGATTTGCAAATCCATTTCAAACTATATTCAATTGAATACACTACAAAGACAATATGTTTAATGTTCAAACTTATAAACTTTATTTTTTTTTTGCAAATAATAATTAACTCAGAATGTCATGGCTGCAACACGTGACAAAGTAGTTGGGACAGGGGCATGTTTACCACTGTGTTACATCACCTTTCCTTTTAACAACACTCAATAAATGTTTGGGAACTGAGGAGACTAATTGTTGAAGCTTTGAAGGTGGAATTCTTTCCCATTTTTGCTTGCTGTATAGCTTCAGTTGTTCAACAGTCCGGGGTCTCCGTTGTCGTATTTTGCGCTTCATAATGCACCACACATTTTCAATGGGAGACAGGTCTGGACTGCAGGCAGGCCAGTCGAGTACCCGCACTCTTTTACGACAAAGCCACGCTGTTGTAACGCGTGCATAATGTGGCTTGGCATTGCCTTGCTGAAATAAGCAGGGGCGTCCATGAAAAAGACATTGCTTGGATGGCAGCATATGTTGCTCCAAAACCTGTATGTACCTTTCAGCATTAATGTTGCCTTCACAGATGTGTAAGTTACCCATGTCTTGGGCACTAATGCACCCCCATACCATCACAGATGCTAACTTTTGAACTTTGCGTCGATAACAGTCCGGATAATTCTTTTCCTCTTTGGCCTGGAGCACTCAACGTCCACTATTTCCAAAAACAATCTGAAATGTGGACTCGTCAGACCACAGAACACTTTTCCACTTCGCATTAGTCCATCTTAGATGAGCTCAGGCCCAGAGAGAAGCCGACAGCGTTTCTGGGTATTGTTGGTATTGGTATTGTTGACAAAGCTTTCGCTTTGCATAGTAGAGTTTAAACTTGCACTTACAGATGTAGCGACAAACTGTATTTACTGACAGTAATTTTCTGAAGTGTTCCTGAGCCCATGTGGTGATATCCTTTACACATTGATGTCGGTTTTTGATACAGTGCCGCCTGAGGGATCGAAGGTCATGGGCATTCAATGTTGGTTTCTGGCCGTGCCACTTACATGCAGTGATTTCTCCAGATTCTCTGAACCTTTTGATGATATTATGGACCGTAGATGAAATCCCTAAATTCCTTGCAATTGTACTTTGAGAAACGTTCTTGAACTGTTCGACTATTTGCTCACACAGTTGTTCACAAAGTGGTGAACCTCGCCCCATCCTGGCTTGTGAATGACTGAGAATTTTTGGGAAAGCTGCTTTTATACCCAATCATGGCACCCACCTGTTCCCAATTAGCCTGCTCACCTGTGGGATGTTCTGATTAGGTGTTTGATGAGTATTCCTCAAATTTCTCAAGATTTTTTGACACCTTTACCAACTTCTTTGCCACGTGTTGCAGCCATGTAATTCTAAAGTTAATGATTATTTAAAAAAAAAAATTAAGCTTATGAGTTTGAACATTAAATATCTTATCTTTGCAGTGTATTCAAGTGAATACAGGTTGAAAAGGATTTGCAAATCATTGTATTCTGTTTTTATTTACGTTTATCACAATTTCCCAACTTCAATGGAATTGGGCTTTGTAAATAATACTCATGTACATGTCTTTTTAACTCTAAGTTTGTTATTCTTTAATTTAGGCCTGGGCGATTTGGCAAAAAAAAAGATCACAATATATTTTGTCATATCGTCCGATCTCCATTGTTATCACTATTTTTTTTAACTGCCAGTTTTAAAGTATCTGTACTGAAAACTAAAGAAACTAGAGATTAGTTCAACATTTTCTCAACATACAAATAAAGTAAATAAAGAATAAGATTAACTTAGAAAAATATAAAAAAACATTTTAACTCAACAGTACAACAAAAGTAGATGAATACTACATAATACAGTGAACTAGTTTACAGTCCTGAGTGATTTTGCAGGTATGCAAGACCCAAAATAAACAAATTGCCCCCTCAGGGATAATGAAGATGCCTTAAAATGTAAACATTAGATGATGTAAACGTAGATGATACAATTGATCGCTGCTTTGGTCTGGTGGCTGCACCGCTAGTTGTGGCTAAACTGCTAATGCTACTTGTGCTGTCAGCAGTGACAGGCTGTACAGACTCCCCCCACATTTTCATGTTTTCCTCATAATCACTTGGGAAGAACTTCTTCAAATGATTTAACAGATCTGTTGTGTTCCCAGTTTTTGAGGGCACAGACCGCCGACATACCTTACGCATCGGCTTAATTGCTCGACGTCACTTTGGAGATACTCGAACCACCACCACACAACCGACCTGGAATAACCTCTCAACAATAACATCTTTGGAGGATTACTCAAAGTCATGGCTGACATCTATTTTGCTGCCCTCAACATTTAGCTCCATGTTCTGTCATTCTGTTTACTTCTCTGGCAACTTACAGAAGTGAGCAGGAAAAGCTTGACTCTAATTGGCTGTTGTGACGCACATTTCCGCAATGTTTGATCGAGTAAATATGCTGTGATACTTAATAAAGTGGTGAAATTAATACTTACCTGATTCATACTTACCTGGTTTATACCTACCTGATTCATACTTACCTGGTTCATACCTACCTGATTCATACTTACCTGGTATTATGTTAAAGCTTAATTTGCAATCAATTGGGAGTGGGTTGACATTCACAAATTTATTGTTTTTTTTTTCTGATATTTGCTATGCTTATTTTCTATTGCAGTAACTTGTGAGAGAATATGATTTGTGATTTTTGTACATAATTTAAGTGCTAGAAGCCACACTAGCAGGGACAGCTGAGCAGAAAGTCATTACTCTCACAACAATAACCTACAATCTGGCAAAGGAGCGGTTTGGATTGGAGGACAAGAAGGTGAACATCAAGGCTGCACACCAACCAAGCAGAAGAGAAAGGGAAATCCATCGCCTAAGGGAAGAAATCAAGACACTCAACAAGCAGTTCAAAAGATCCCCAGTTGATGAAAGGGAAGGCATCAAGGACCTGACGAGTCAACTCCGAGAACGTCTCTGCAGACTCCGAAGAGCAGAAAGCACTCGGAAAAGGAGGAAGGATAGGGAGAACAAAAGATCTCAGTTCACCAAAGACCCCTTCCGATTCACCAGAACACTGCTGGGTGAAGCAAAATCTGGAAGACTGACCAGCCCCAGAGAAGATGTGGAGGCGTTCCTGAGAGAGACCCACAATGACATCTCCAGAAATCAGGCCCTGGATGCCAACCCAAAGATCGACAGCATTGCTCCACCTGAAAGAGAGCTCAACATCAGCGAACCATCCTGGAAGGAAGTCCAAGAGGTGGTGAAGAAGGCCAGAACAGGTTCTGCCCCCGGCCCAAGCGGCATACCTTATAAGGTGTATAAGAAGTGTCCAATGCTCCTCCGGAGGCTATGGAAGCTGTTCCAGAGGATCTGGAAGAAGGGCACCATTCCATCCTGTTGGAAAAAGGCAGAAGGCTGTTTTGTGCCAAAAGAAGAGAACTCCTCAACCATAGACCAATTCAGAACAATCTCACTGTTAAGCGTAGAATGCAAGATCTTCGTCTCTGTACTGGCCAAGAGGATGACCTCATACATGACTGAGAATGGATACATCGACACCGCTATCCAGAAAGGTGGAATCCCAGGCTTCTCTGGATGCTTGGAACACACCGGAGTTCTCAGTCAGATGATCCGGGAGGCCAAGGCCAACAATGACAACCTGACTGTCGTTTGGCTGGACTTGGCTAATGCCTATGGATCAATCCCTCACGCCCTCATCCATGCAGCGTTAGACCATTACCTCATCCCTCAGCACATCAAGGGAATGATCATCAACTACTTTGGCGGAATCCAGCTACAATTCAAGACACCCCACTTTACCACCCAGTGGCAAAACCTGGAAAAAGGGATCGTAACTGGCTGTACAATCTCCCCCATCCTCTTCATCATGGGAATGAACCTCCTCATAACAGCTGCTGGGAAGGAAGCTCGAGGCCCAAAAATGCAATTGGGCATCCGACAACCCCCAATAAGAGGTTACATGGACGACCTTACTGTGACAACCACAACCCATGTGGAGGCGAGGTGGGTGCTAACAGTTCTGGACCACATGGCAACGTGGGCCAGAATGAAGTTTAAGCCAAAGAAATCCAGGTGTATGGTGATCAGGAAAGGTAAACTGACTAACAGGGCCACACTGCATGTGCAAGGGGAAGTGATTCCATCGATAAAGGAAAATCCAATCAAATGTCTCGGGAAGTGGTTCGACGACTCACTTACGGACAGGAACAACATCAGCAGTACAGAAAAGCAGACAGAGGAATGGCTGAGGAGGATCGAAAAATCAGGGCTCCCGGGGAAGTTCAAAGCATGGCTTTACCAACATGGACTACTGCCAAGACTCATGTGGCTGTTGACAGTGTATGAAGTTCCCATGACAAGGGTTGAAGGAGCGGAGAGGAAGATCAAAAAGTACCTCAGAAGGTGGCTGGGAATCCCTCCAAGCTTCACTTCAGTAGGCCTCTACATAAGATCAGGGCAGCTCCAACTTCCTCTGTCATCCGTGGTGTAGGAATTTAAGGTAGCAAAGTGCAGAGTCATAATGACATTCAGAGACTCCCAGGATGAACAAGTCAGGCAGGCAGGCATCCTCACAAGATCAGGACGCAAGTGGGCAGCTGACTCATCTGTGGCACAAGCCGAAAGCATGCTGAAGCTACGTGACATCATCGGAACACCATGCACAGGAAGACAAGGTCTTGGAACTTTCCATACCCAGCAATGGGGGAAGGCAGGATCCAAGGACAAAAGAGCCATGATCCAGGAGGAAGTACGGAACTTGGAGGAGGAAGGACGAGGGCAAGGGCAGTGGAGCTAGCGTCCCAGGGAGCATGGACCAAATGGGACCTACCCAAGAGAAAGATCACGTGGGGAGATCTATGGAGATTGGAGCCTTTCCGCATCTCCTTTATGCTCAGGTCGGTGTATGACACACTCCCGACTCCAACAAACTTGCACAGGTGGGGCCTGAGAGAAGACCCTTTGTGCAAGCTCTGCGGGGAGAGGGGAACCATGGCACACATCCTATCAGGGTGTAAAACAGCACTCGCCCAAGGACGATACAGGTGGCGCCATGATAAGGTGCTCATGACACTCGCTAACACCCTCGAGCAAGAGAGACGCAAGAAATGCCAACCACATGGGAGAGCAATACCATCGATCAAATTTGTAAGAGAGGGTCAAAAGCCACCAACCACAGCAACAACAAGAACCAATCTGCTGCAAAAAGCCCAATCATGGGAAATGAAGGTAGACCTGGGGGAAGACTGAAATTCCCCCAGGTTGTCCAGACAACCCTAAGGCCAGACGCGGTACTGTGGTCTGAAGAGGCAAAGAAGATCATCCTCATTGAACTAACAGTCCCATGGGAAGAGGGTTGTGAGCAAGCGTTTGAAAGAAAGAGCGCCAAATACCAAGATCTCTTACATGATTGCAGGGGGAAAGGATGGCAGGCATGGCTGTTCCCAGTCGAGGTCGGCTGTAGAGGATTCCCCGCCCAGTCAGTTTGGAGGATGCTCACAGCCATTGGGGTGACGGGGAGGGAGAGAAAGACAGCAGCTCGCAGGATGGGGGAGGCAGCAGAAAGAGCCTCTTGCTGGTTATGGAGCAGGAGAGAGGAGCTTAGCTGGAAGCCAGGGGGAGTTGATGGGCAGTGATTTGGCCAATCACTGCTGACCCACCAATGTTGAGGGTGTTGCGGTTCAGGGTTGAAACACCCAGTGATCATTGGATACCGCCTGATGACATCAACTCTTCCTGGCCAAGGCTACATTCACCAAAAGTGAATGAAGGAGAAGCATCTTAGGATGTAATTGTAATCAAATGTGTTTCTTTTTTCTTTTGAAAGGTTTTTCACCTAATGTCAAATGGCAAACTGCACCTAAAAATTGCACCTGAAAATAAAAGATGCAAAAGAGAAGTGAATCCACTTCCTACACCTCTGAGTAGATGACTCATCCCTTTCAAGTGGGGATTGCATGGAAACCATAGAGAACTTGACAGTGAAAAACCGGGAGACCAGGAAATGGGACAGCCAGGAGAGCAGAAATCCGGGAGCATCAGCTGGATCAGCTAGAGGAAAAAACTGGAGTCCTGGCGGAAAAAACAAGCAAACAATCAGCTTGGAAAAAGGCATCACCAAGAAAGACATTGAGGCATCAAAAAGAGTTGGACTTCTGTGAACAACCAGCAGGTGGAGACATGGTGGACCAAGTGAGTGGAAAAACTGTGGAGCAACTTAAAGTGGAGAGGACAACAGCCAAGAGAATGTTTTCTCGCCTGGTCAACAGTATAACAAGAGCATATGCTGACATGTCTGAAGAGGAGCTTAGGCACAGCTTCAGTAAACTCACAATTGAGGCTGGAAAAGTCATGGAGGCAAATGATGATATGGAGGCTGGACTTATTGCAGAGCTGGGGGCGGAGCTGGACGCAGATGGAGAAGCCGTGTTAACCAATCAGCAAAAAGCCGATCTGGAAAAAACTGCAAAAGAGTGTGAGCTGAAGCTAAAAGAGACAAAAAGCCCAATCCAGGAAATTCTGTGGGCCAACTTTGGAAGGATTGAGATGTCTATCGCAGTCCAGGCAGCAGAAGAGGAGTGTGAGTGTGTTAATGCTGTTCAGCCAGACATTAGCCAGGAGGCATTTGAATTCAAGCTCAACCACCTGAAAGGGCTGGCAAAAACTACAAAGGAAGCGTACAGGTGGTGGCAGCTGTTTGTCCCTCCAGATGCACAGCATGAATTTCAATGTCATCTAAAAGAGCTTGAGCTCTGCATCCCCATATTGGTGTCTAGAAAGGCTGATGTCATACAGGCAAGGATAAAGGATGATGCTGAAAAACAAACGCAGTCACTGATTAATTCAAGTAATTCAACCCCATCCATTAAGTTAAAACCAACAGCCCTCCCCAAGTTTACTGGGGACAAACGTGACTGTTACAGATGGAGGAAAGACTGGGAAGCACTTCAAAAGCAGGGGGAGCCAACCGGCTCGAAAGAGGTGAAGAAGATTCAGCTGCTGGACAGCATTGATGATAAAATCACAAGAGATCTGCACCTCACCACTTACAACACTGCTGATGACATCTTCCGTGTTCTGGGTAATCGCTATGGCAACCAAACCTCCATCGCCATTGAAATTGTAAAAGAGTAAAAAAAAATGCCAGCTGTCAGGAGTACTCAGCCGCGGAAGATAGTGGAGCTGATTCAAGCTGTGGAGAAGTGAGGGTCGTCAACGTCAGAGTCTTCCCAAGCTACTGCGTTCCCTTGACAAGAGCTCTGAAAAGGAAAACCACTCATCCAAAGGAAAGGGAGAAAATCCAAGCCATCATCCTTCACAGGGACGTCAGGTGACCCATCGTCTTACTACCTGCAGAGGAACAGTTCTAAATGTCAGCAATCAATCCTGTCGACCAACAAGTTTGCCTCTAAAGCCGGCGATCTCCCCAGTGTTTCCATAGGAAGATCGAGTGGGAGGTGTCAAGTCAAACTTGAGGTTTAGATGCGTCAGCAAAGAAATGATGCAGCTTCACAAAAACGGGAGGAGGAACCTCTGTGAGATCAATATCTGCCGGACTGGAATAGGTGGCGCACATGAGCACAGGTGAAGCAATCAAGCAGACAGCAGCACCAAGCAGATAGCGGCAAACAAAGACTGTTCAACCATTGTTTGCAACTCGCCCATGTGGACAAGAGCGCCTACAAACATCGGAAAGGCAGCGGCAGACAGAGACACTGTGCCATCATTGTTTGCAACTCGCCCATGCAGATCAGAGCACCTACAAACACCAGAGAGGCAGCCGGTAAGACGCCGAACTGTTGAAGATAGCCATCGATAGCTTAGCCACGGCAAGTAGTGCATGGCTTGTTAACTGTTTAATGCCCACGTGTGCTGATTGCTGTTTTGCTGTACTGCTGAATTGATTTAATGTGGTTACAATTGTAATAGGCGTAAATAGTTAGCTTACGTTGTTGCTTATGTATTAAGTAAGTTTAAATATTTCACTTTGGTTTGGAAATGTGTTTAATCATTATGAATTGAAAGCTAATTGAATTTTATTGAATGTTGAGGGCAATTAAGAGACAGTATAATCATTAACACTTTCATAATTCAAACATGTCTGGGTTATAATATTGTGTAATTTTACTGTTGCAATTAAAACTGAAAATTGATTTGTGTGTATTGTGGTTAAGGTTAAAAAGTAATTAATGTGTCTTGTTAAATCAGTAAAATTCATGGTAAATACAATTCATGTTAAATACATTTAAGGTTAACAATTATTACAACTTTAGCAGCAAATTCTGAATTAATTAATTAATAATTAAAGAAGACATATAATATAATATATAAATATAAAACAACAATACATATATAGAAAGTGGTGAAATTAATACTTACCTGATTCATACTTACCTGGTATTATGTTAAAGCTTAATTTGCAATCAATTGTAAGTGGGTTGAGTTTCACAAATTTATTGGGTTTTTTTTTCTGATATTTGCTACGCTTATTTTCTATTGCAGTAACTTGTGATCGTATATGATTTGTGATTTTTGTAGAGAATTTAAATGTGTTTCTTTTTTCTTTTTTTTTGAAAGGTTTTTCACCTTATGTCAAATGGCAAACTGCACCTAAGAATTGCACCTGGACATAAAAGATGCAAAGAAGGAAAAGCCGCTTGTTCATTGAGTGAATTCACTTCCTACACCTCTGAGGAGATGACTCATCCCTTTCAAGTGGGGATTGCATGGAAACCATAGAGAACTTGACAAATATCATGCTCAGTTTACACTACAAAGACAGAACACGAAGAAAGGGGCGCTCTGAAAGGTTTTTCTTTGTATGACAAAGTCAGTGTAGAGGATGGCAGAAATGTATCATCCCGGAACGCCTAAGTGTTTGTGTCAAAATTAGTGCAGATATTTCATCTTTCAGTCGAAGACTGTCAGCATTGAGTTTTGTGTGGTTATGAACAAAGTCAGACCCCACATCGAGAAGTTAATATGTTTTTAAAAGGTGAGTTATTCTGCACTAAACTGCACTGACCATATTTGTAAAAGCCAGGGTCAAGTTTTTACTGCTTTGCAGCTGAACCACCTTTGGTTAAAGACTGTTTTCTGTCCATTTAGACACCAGGACCATTGCATTCCCAGCTGCTAGAGTCAGAGCTTTTTCTGCATCTTAAATGACTGTGCTACTCTCACCATCACTGGAAAGATGATAGCCAGGAAGGTGGACTTCAGGATCCACAGCACAGCTAAACAGAGGATTTGCACCAGGGTGAAGAGATGGACACGTCTCAGAGGAACGTGACGCAGGAAGGAGAAGTCTGGCTGGTGTTTGGGAGGCATCAGATACAGTTTGATACGCTCCCAGAACTGAAACCAAGACAGACAGAAAGTAGAGAGAAGTGTGAACTTTTAAAACTTAAACAGCAGTGAGTATTCCTGTGACCCTTCTCTGGGATTTAAAAGGAAAACATGGATATCTGGAAGTCAGCTTTGCCCTACCTGGATGCCACTCAGTGAGGCCACTCCCATGTAAAGGAAGACTCCATACAGGACTGGCATGGGGATATACTGTGTAAAATGGAACAGAAGTTTTAATATGTTGTTAAAGTTGTATCATTTTTTATGTGAAAATAAAAACAAACATTTTCTAATAATCTTCATGCTTTACCTGGAGGATTGGAGCAAGGAAAACTGAAAGCCCTGTCAGGACAAAGACCAGAGTTCCTGTCAGCCTCTGCTCCCTGAAAAACAAGGATTCGTGTTGGTCTAGAGGCAGACAGTGGGAAAGGATTTGCTTGTGCTGTCACAGGATTACACTCTTACCTGACACCCAGGAACTGTGGCTGCTCTCCAGGGGCGCTGGACTCACTCTCCATCTTCAGAGAGTCGATGTGAGCAATGGAGATGACGGTAGCAGCTACATACCAGGGCAGACCCATGAAGGAGCACACAGCCATGAGGACCCCGACCCAGAACAGGTCCAAGTGGTAACCACAACCTTTCTGCAATCACAACGACAGGAAATGTGAAAGCCCTGAGACTGTTAGACCATCAGTTTTTTTTTTTGACCAAGTATATTCCAGTTATATTCAGAGGCTCAGTGTATGAATATGAAGGGGAGTTTTTAAGAAGGACAGGGCAGTAGGACAAATCTCATCGTCATGTTTTCAAATTTTTCTTTATTTTTTTTTTCCATGTGCAGTACGTCCTATTTAACTCTAAATTTTATCCTGAATTGTAAAACCTGTTTGGGTAAAGTTTGCCTAAATAAGTATCTTTCTATCTGTTTTATTGGTACTGTTCAATGTATGCCTATAGTGATGGTTTACAGAATTGTCACGTTTGAAATAAATGGTAAATAAATGACGTCTTTCTCATTTTATACCTCTCTAATGGTTTTCTAATGGTTTTCATTCTCACACATTCACATGCTGACAGTTATGCTCAGGGGACCGATTTGGGGTTAGTGTCTTTCCTCAAGGACACTTCAACACAGACTGATTGAGGCAGCGATCATCTGGTATGGGGACACCTCGCTCTATCTCCTGAGTCACAGACACCGGGATGAAGCCATAAAATTGCTGTAAATAGTAACACAGTCATGCATGATGTTCTGCCTGCTAATGTAACACAATGGATGAGTGGTTCGGTCAGTACAAGTATTGATATGCTGGCGGTTGTTTGTGCGGGTTTCCATCTCTGTCTGACTTGAAGAGGTCAAAGGAGGTCATTTCATAAGCATCAATTTTCCTAATGACTGGTATTTCAAGAACAGAGCCAGGCATGTTTGCAGCTGTTTATATATCAACATTCAACACATTTTCATATCCGGGCTTGAGGCGTGAGACTTGAACATTTTCGCTACAATGAGCTAAGGCTGTTTTTGTCATCGTTTCCTTCATTTCCTGTCTATTTTCTGACCTTCAGCTTGTTTTCCTTGCGGTTGACGATGACGGCGCTAATCTGCTGGTCCATGAAGATGAGGATGGTGACCAGGAGAGCGGGGATGGAGCTGGCCAGATACCACCACCAGGGGTTCTTACCAAACGGCATCACCAGCCAGCCTCTATCAGCACGGGTAGGCTGATCACACACACACACACACACACACACACACACACACACACACACACACACACACACACACACACACACACACACACACACATCGAAATATTACATTAATTATTGTGTGATACAGGTGGGATGATAACAGTTTAAATATTCCTCATAAAATCAAATGCTTCACATTTAAGGTGCTAAACTGAAATGCACTTGTAGGCAGTGATGAGGAAGGTTTATATTAGGGCCTGACCGATTTATCGGCGAGCCGATTAAATCAGCCAATTTTAGCCTGTTTGAGACTAATCGGTAATCGGCCAAAACTCCTAGATTTTCGCTGATATTTTCAGAAATAAAATGCGGAGAATAAGATTCGGTTTCACTTCGAAAATGTTCTGCCATTTGAAAAGTTCCCCGACTTATCCTGTAGATGGCGCAGGGACCTCATGACAATCTTCATCCACTAACTACCTCACAGCACAGCAGAGTGACAGATCTGAAGCAGGCAGCTCAGGGACGCACGGAGGAGAGTGGTCTGCCTCAACAGTAAATAAACCAGTTTGTGAAATACACAATAAGTCAACAAGTTTCAGTTCAACCCACTTCACAATGTTCCCCGCTGTGCTGGTCTCGGTCACGCTGAGTTAACGGTGAAGCACCATGTAATATGCAAGCTAAAGTTAGAGTTAGCCACCTGCTATTAGCCTTGCTACACTGTTAGCCGTGCCAGTAACGGTAGAATAAACAACAGTACACATTACGCGATCGAGCTACTTCTCGTACTGAGGCAGCTGCATGTCTCTAGATGAGACCGGACCAGGAATCTGTAATGTGAGTTGGGGGGGGGGGGGGGGGGGAGTTGAAAATGCTTTTCTGGTCTGAGTTTGATCAGTCGGTCTTCCTGTCGGCGTGAGGAGCAGTAACCTACAGCATATCTTCAGTATACAGTATATACAGTATATAGTATACTGTAGATATCTACTTTATATATATATTTTTATAACTTCATAAAAAAACTTTAAAAATCTGGCAATTAATTGGTAATTGTATTTTTTTTCCCCCCTAATAATCGGTATCGGCATCAGCCCCAAAAAATCACTTGGATAAGTGTGACCAGCAAAATCAGAGTGAAGTTGTAAAATTTATGGAGGAAGTGATAATATCCAAGAGTATTGATGCAATACTGGATTAATAACAGGCAGCTGTAACAGAAAAAAATATATATATGAGTCATGTTTTGATTTATCAGGGCTAATATTAGTGTAATATTGGGAAGCTGCTCTTTTCATTTAAATTCATGATGATTTATGCGTAAATAGTATTTTTTTAAGTGAATCGTTGAACTGAATCTGAAAAGTGTGCACGTTTACCTCTAAAGGTACTTTGATTGATTGCATTGGTTTTGATAGGGGGACAGTTTTAACCTATCCTACGCGCCTAAATGCTCCCAGCTGTAACCAAGTCTGAGATTTGATTCCATGTAGTATACCTGACATTATGTAAGTTCCCTTCTCAAATAGTTTGCAGTGTGTGAAAGACTGAACTGTTAAAACAACAAACTAGTAGTTGCATAACCAGCACCAAGAAGTTGAAGTGGAATTTTGTTAGTTATAAATCTACTTTTCACCACTATTAAAAACACAGTAAAACACAGATACACAGATTCATGTATTAAAAGAAGACAATTTAAAGACAAACTAAAGGGAGGAGTGATTTACCTTGAACTCAGTGGGAACTATTAGTTTGGGTGTTTCTAACCCCATCAACATATCCAGACCCACAAAGCACATGATTGACATGAAGATGGCAAAATCACTGATGAGCTTCCTCAGCTACACGTCCATTGGTACACACACACACACACACAAACAGACAACAAACAGGAGTGTGTGGTAGGGTGGAAAAGAGAGGAGACACAAGAGAAAGGTGGAAACACAGAGAAACAGAAAAAGATCACTCAGAACAGAAATCATCTACATTTATATATCTACACAAAACCTCTGTGATTGGTTAGAAATGTGTGAAAGCAAAGAAGTGCATCCAAGAAGAAATGATGAGAGCGGCTTGATGGGAACCTTCAGCTCAGTGGGTACGTTGAGTTTGGGGGTGTCCAGATCAAGCAAGCAATCCAGTCCACAAAATGTCAGGATAGAAATGATGATGGAGAAATCACTGACGAGGGAACGGACCTGGAGCACGGGAGAGGAGAGGAGAGGAAAGGAAAGGAGAAGAAAGGAGAGGGGAAGGGAGGAGAGGAGAGGAGAAGAACATGGGGAACAAATTCATGTATGGACATTAAAGGGTGACAATCTGGACCAGGAGGAGGGAGGAATAGAGCTGGGTGCTAGGGGTGTATTTTCAAATCATCATGCAGATTTGTGTCGTGAAGCCATTCCATTATCTTTTAGATTTTCAAAAACTGTAGCGTACAGAGTTCAGAGAAATGTTTTTGTAAAAGACTACATAGTTTTAGGCTGTGACTCAGTTCACACTGTGGGAATAAACTCTTGATCTCAGAACCAAATGGCAAAAGAAATCATGACCACTCTCAAAACAAACATAATGACTGCAGAACAAAGGCATTTTAGTATCACGGAAATATAATTTGGCTCAAATTACCATTGGGCCTCGGTGAAGCCCCGTGGAGCTGGATGCATGGCCCCTGTTTTTTTTTCAGGCAGGACAGGTACATTTTTAAGACTTTTGGACAACAAAAGACCGTGAGTTACACGGTCTCTTGTGCTTACCCAGAGTGGCCTGACTTCATGTGCAGAATCACTTATTCTCGATAAACAGGGCCGATCCAGGGTCAAAGTAAGGTGCTTGTCTGTATGAACAATCGTATATTCTATTTATACGTCAAACTCAGCGAGTTGAAAGGCAATCAGTTTCTGCCGCTTGTTCTTGGCATCTTGCTGTTTGAATAATGAGCTGAAAAACAGCAGGCACAAACGCCATCAGTTTCAAACCAGGTACTTGAGGAAGTGCGTCTTTCTGCTGCACAAAGACTGCATTTTGCCACCAGTGCTCCTGACCTCATCAACCTGCTTTAAGGCACACAGGAGGGTGCAAGTATCGAGGCACTGGGTGTGAAAATGAGAAGTGCATCAGTGAGAAAGTAGCATCAACATTTGCACTGTGATAGATGTATGCATTTAGTTGACTCAGCGATTAAATGTTGTCATTCTATCGCGTCAGCACCAGACATATTTGTTAGTAAAACAGACTGTTGATTTGTTTTCCCTATATCAGACTTGAAACAGGTTCATATACTGTATGTAAGTGTATAAGCTGTAGTGCAGCAGGTGTAGCTCATATTAAAGACTACTGCTATAATGAAGTAATGCTTTACTACCTGGATGTAGCCAATCACAGTAGACAGCTGGTAGTGTTGAGTAGCTTGTCTGTATTTTGATCTGAATGGAGTTGAAGATGTCTGTTGGCTGTGTTTACCAATGTGGATGCTAGCCTGTAAAGAGGACTTACAGGCCCCTAACAGACTGGTTTGTCACTATGAAATTTCTGTTCGAACTAAAGGAAAATAGATAGCCACAGTTTGGTTTAAAGTGGGGCCCACTGCCTTGTTACGTTCGTTATGTCAGCCTTACACCAGTAAGGAAGTGCTTTCGATTGAACTGACACCAAATCAGCATTGACTTTTATAGCAGGTTTGAACATCTGAAGTCTCACCTTTGTTGGAAAGTATCGACTGAACTTGAACTTCTTCAGAGAAACCGTCATTGAGTAAGTGCCGAAGAAGAGGATGAAGGACATGAGGGCCAGATCAGGAACATACTTACAGGCCTTCCCCACCAGCATGCCTCCATACTTTACGCAGTCTTTCTTACTCATCTGACTCCAGTCCATGTCAGTCAAGTTAAACTACAGAGGCGAGGCAAGATGGAAGAAGGACGTAATGGAAGAGGGGAGACAGTTGGGATGGGGAGAGGAAGACGAGAAATAGGAAAGAGCCGTAGGGGATGAAGTTGAAAGTGGAGAGAAAGCAGACATCAAAGAGAGAAACGGCAGGAGAACGATCATTTGCTATAAAACAGTCGACCCTTGATGTGGTATTTCACTTGACTGACCAAGAGTAAAGTTGTGATGAGACAAACTTTCATCTAAATAACTTTCTCCTCAGTTTTTGCTGAACTGATCCAACCATCCTCCAAAGTAAAAGGTCATCTTTCACGATGGATTGGCCGCCACCAGCAGAAAAAAACAACTCGGAAAGATAAAAAAAAAACTCTCCTTTACATCATCTCCTGTGAGACTTTGAAAGTTTAAGCATCAGTGGAGTTATTTGGTCCAAAAGCACAGGAAAGCTGATGAATACTTGACTTCTCATACCTTCAGAAGGACCAAAAACTGTGCTTCTCAGATATTCTGTCAGACAAGAGTGATTCCCTACCTTAAGGGTAAATATGGACCATTACTATAATTAGATTATTATAGTAAGGAAATACAAACCACTTTAGAGGAGCATTTGGTGATTGAATTAGCAGCCTCTAACACAAAGGGATGAAAACAGATCAATGTGAAGGATGTTTTCTTGTCACTTACCAACAGAGTCAGATTATCATCTGCAAGTGGAGCTGAAAGATTGAAGATGCTGAAGAGCACAAACACGGATGGAAACAGAGGAAAAGCAAATTAACTTTATAGCTGCAAGGCTTGAAAGTAGAATATTGAAACATGCTTCAGTAGCTTCCACACATGCATACTCACTTAGACGGCATCCAAAGGTGAGGTAGAAACAGACATAAAACACAAATTACAAAGGATCAAAGACCAAACGTTCGTATCTATAATCAATAATCAATTTGTGTCGAACAGTATCCTAATTTAAAAAAGTTTTTTTTCTTTGATTATAAACAAAACACTTGAATTAACGGTTATCAACTAGTGAGCGTAAGAAGTGTTGTGTTTTGCCGAGCTGGCTATTTCTGCTTGTTTGCAATCTTTGTGATCAGCTGGGCTAATCTGTCTAATTCCAGATCAATACTTATTTTAATGGCACAAGTTTGACATCCACTTTTTCTAACTGAAAACGAGAAAAGAGACTTTCCACAATTCCAAACACTTCTACATTTGAAAGAATTAAACTAAAACAACCTTATATTTATTTTTTATGAAATGTGGTTATAAGTTACACGTCAACTAAAGAGTGCACTCACCCTGGTCTGGTGGGATACAGTCACATTTATAACCAGTGATGTAGTCAGGCTTGAAGCCACGGTTGATGGGGTAATACTTCAGGGCTCCTACCTGTGAAAGGAAACCTGTTTTATTTTTCCCTCTGTATATCGCTATTGTCCTCTTAACCTCATTAACAGGCACAATTAGGAGCTGTGTCCACTGGAGTTGTTTTTGTTTATCTATCTATTTATTGCACTGGCACTCCCACAACCTTCATTTCAGAGCCCTTCTCTCCAGCATTTACTGTTGCTAGGTTACAAGAATTGTCCCCTCTGCACTTCTGCTTCCTTTAGCGGTAACAGTTAGATTAGTTTTATGATGCTCCCATGCTTCATTTGCCTTTAGTAGCTTTTTACATTGAAAAGCTGAAAAAAAAAAAAGATTGACATCGCGTCACAGCCAGGGCCCAACAGATTTTTCAGCCCCCTGCTATTAGCCTTGCTACACTGTTAGCCGTGCCAGTAGCGGTAGAATAAACAACAGTACACATTACATGATGGTTTCTGGTTTCCTGAAAACGTTTTCCTGGTCCGAGTTTGATCAATCTGTCTTCCTGTCGGCGTGAAGAGCAGGGGCCTACAGTTTATCTACAGTATATAGTACACATATATATATTTTGTTTTTATTTTATTGAGAGCTCTGGACCTTGAAATAGTACCTCCATAAAACAGGTTTGATCACTTTCTTTTCCATACTGACTGCCCCCGTTGTTGTTGACAAACACCTTTTCAGAACTCCCTTCCATTTTTGATCCTGATTGGTCAGTGGTCAAGAAGTGTCATTGATGAGCATTGAGTAGAAAAAAGGAACTGCCAGTGCTAAAATAGCATCAGTGGACAGGGCACCTTAATTTTTACAATGTGTGGAAGAAAATATTGACTGATGAGAAGTAGGTGGGGCATCGTTAGGGCCCGAGCCAAGGCTGCAAAGCAGCCGACAGGCAAGGCCCTCTTGGATCCCAATTTGACCCCCTAAACTTGCAAAAAAAGTCAGGAAATTTTGCACGCCCCTCGGGCCTGGTGAAAAATTTGACATTTTGCAGTGCCACAAAATATTCAATGCAAAATGGTTCTGTAGCGCCCCCTACAGACTCTCATGAGCCTCCACTTTGTCGTAGCTGCACGAAATTTTAAACGCACATAGAGCTCAATGAGCTGTACAAAAAAGTCAGTGCAGCCGATTCTCTACAACGTACAGGAAACCAGATATTTCCAGCTGTTCGGGCAGTTTTCACCCCCCACACCAAATTCATCAAGTCAGTGAGATTTTGTCCGATCGCCACAAAATTTGCATCGTACAATCTTAACTCGGAGGGGAATAGAAATTTAGAAGAACTTTTTCAAAACTTTAAAAATGTGGCCACCAGGGGCCGCCAAAAAAACATTTAAAAAATTTTTAGGTCGCAGCCCCACGAAATTTTACACACTCGTAGACCTCACTGAGACGCACGGAAATTCACCATTCGCGTTTCTCGAAAACCTACTTGCAACCAGATATTTGCGGTTGTTCGGGCACTTTTTTTCATTCGCATAGGTTTTCCAAAGCTCCTAACTCTTTCGTATTTTCTCCGATCAACATATTTGCTCACACCAACCAACACGTCATGGAAAATATAACTTCTGAACGTCGTTTGCATATATTGAGCAATTCGGCCTCCAGGGGCCGCCAAAGTCACCTGTTTTGTTCCAATTAATAAATGGCTATATCTCTGTCATGTTTTCATCTATCAGCCTCAAAAATTCTGGGATGATGTAACATCTGGCCCAAAAGACATTAGAAAAAAGAAAGAAAAAATTATTTTCCTTCATTGCGCCCCCTGGTGGTGCAAGAATATGTGTGTTTTTACGCTTGCACCTCCAGCTCAGGCTGTGTTTCTCCGACTGGTGTCAAACCAAGACCAGAATACTCTGAACACTTTGAAGTTGCTGCAAAATGAGTATTTTGACTCCTCATCAAAGGACGTGGCCATGGCGGTGCTTTGAAATCACATGACTTGCTGTGATAACTAATTTGGCTGGAGTTTGGTTGTACCTGCTACGACCTTCACCAAAATCTAGTATGTTGTAACAGTCTGGCCTTGGATGATGAACATCCTACTTGGCTGCGTATGTGACAGCGCCATTTAACAATAACGCAATTACTTATTTTTCCTGTTAGATTTATAACTCCTACTTACTCAAAGTGATGTACACAGTCATAAGGACGTTTGGTAATGATGCCACAGTACAATTTTCTTGCTTGTATTTGCAACTGGTCATAATTGTTGTCAGCTATTTCTTCTTTCATATGTATTTTTTTCACTTTTGGGCTCATAACTCTTGCATAGTTGATGCCATGAAGGTTAAAATGCTACAGTAGATTGATAAGTATTCCATGACGCCACAGTACAATTTTTGTGACGTTTCCTCTCAGCACGCCAAATGGCCGCCAGCTGTTCATTTTTCACGCTTGCCACCTAGCTCAGGCTGTGTTTTCTGACTGGCAACATACCACAACCTGAATACTCAGCGAACATTAAAGTCGTTTTACAATGAAAATTGTGACTCCTCCCCAAACGGCGTGGCCGCGGCGCTGCAGCAAAGTCACGAGTTTTGGCGTGCTAACTAATTTGGCTGTAACTCGGCCAATTGTGCTCCGACCTTCACCAGAATTTAGTATGTTGATAATGGTCCGGCCCCGGAAAAATCGACACCAAAATTGGCTCTGTATGTGACAGCGCCACCTAGCTACAACACTAAGTGTGGCAGGTCACATTGAGGTAGACTTGGCACGTGAAGGAGGACGACTGGGTTTTTTTCTCGCCTTTGGTGCAAGAAGGTTGCTTGTGGAGCGAGGGGCATGGCCACGGCAATGCGGCGAACGACCACTAGAGGAAGGCGATGGCTAGGTGAGGCGACAGTGGCGACGGGCGACAGCTGGGGCGTGACAGCGGCGCAGGGAAGCGAGAGCCGGAGCGTGGGGCGACGGCCGGAGGGGGCGACCACAATGGGGGTGGCGGTCGCGGTGGGGCCCGCCAGTGCCCCACTGGGGCTCTAGTTCAGTTTGGTATTTTGGCCATTACAATCTTTATTTTCTGGGGCTCTAGCTCTAGACCACATTAGGTGGGTATGTATGTGGGTAAGCCAAAAGATTGACTGTTAAATTATCTTTTTTAACTTCTATTGCTGCATCCAAAAAGAGGCAAAACTGACAGTTAAGACAATGGACTCAGTTCACAACAAGACTTCTTTTCACAGATTGTGGTGTTGCAGCCTGTGGAGTTTCCTCCAGGTGGTCAACCTAAAGAAATGATACATGTACATACTGGCAGGATGGCTGTTAATTCTTCTGACTGACAAGTAGAAAAGTTACCATTTTCTTGATGGCATCAGAGATGAAAATGAAGGAGATGAGGCTGGAGAAACCTTCCTCTGTGAAGCGGGTCATGTACTTTATAATGTAGCTGGCGTCAGAGAGTACCAGCAGGAAACACTGTAGACACGAGTGGAGGCCGATCCACAGACGCAGCTCCATGTAGTCAACGTTGTTGCTTCTGTAAAGAAAAACAGAGTGCTTGCATCATTGCTTAGGTGGTCACCTGTACTCTACTCATGCTTCTGGTTGTGTGTAACGTACTTGCTGAATTCATATAGCAGTTTCTCAAAGATAAGAATGGGTCCAGTTGAGCTGAGGATGATGAGAGGTTGCCCACCAAACAAACAAAAGACAGTCCCTGCTAGAGCGGTCCCGAGGAAACTCTCCATCACCCCCTTGAAAAAGAAGAGAAGAGACAGACATAGACATGGTCATCAACCTGTCATGAGAAGTCACATCTTTTCAGATGTCTCTGGGTTCAGCAGCTTTTCAAAGACCTGGTAATTGTCGGTAGCGTCCCCTAGCAATCCGCCAAAGGTGATGGCATTGGTGATGCAGCCTAGGTAGATGAAGAGGACAGCAGAGATGGACTGGATATGGAGGCCGTCATAGATATCACTGCAGTACCATGGGATCTTCCGTTTGATGTCCAGCCATAATCCCCCTCCAAACCTGCAAACCACAGTGTTGTGAATTAAGACATCAGGACTTGGATGTAACTGGACCTTGTGACATATGATGAGACACCATCCAGTCTCCCCATACCTCCCAGTGAATTTCAGCTCCTCTCCCAGTTCATGTGGTGCTGGAAGTTCCTCATCTTCTCCTCCTGCTGCCCCACCAGCTGAGCCATTCATTTGACCCAGCTCATTCAGGTTCATTACAGACTTCCTGAGGCAAACATGGTGACAGAACAAGATTGAACTGGAAGGACAGGATTTGTTTGGAGATGTATAACATGAAATAATCCATAGAAATATGAATGATTTGTCCTCAGAAGCTCAAATATTCATCAGGCAACAGGCAGAGGGGGTTTTAAGATTGCTTCAAAATGAACGTCAAGTTTTGTCCTAATCTTGATCAGCTGCTAAAGAAACACTGAGTGAGTGAGGTATAAATTGGCATGCCTCATTTCTGCAGATGGAACCTTCTTGGGAGGCTCGATGCGTATCTTTGGGTCCCATTCCCCTGGAGGAAGGACAATCACCTCATCCAGAAACTCATCAACACCTGCAATCAGGTCTTCGCGGTCTCTTGCTTTGTAGGCAACGTCACTGAAGAGCTGACAGGAGATCACAGAGTTTATTCCAGATTCAATATGTGTTAAAGTTTTGTCTCAAAATCCACTTACATCATCAACCATGAGCGTAGCAATGGCTCGGCCAATTTCATTGTAGGACTTGGTTTTGCCATGAGGACCCAGGAGAATGAAGAGAAACCTGTTAGCACAGAAGAGGGCAGTTAAGAAAAGTAATGAAGAGATAGCTGAAAAGGGGACCAAGGAGACACCCACCTTGTTGGCACAGGGACCTCCGTCAGGCCTCCGAGAGTCGTGGCCTGGGCCAAACGTACAAAAGACACAAAGGGTTTGTCCAGAAAATCCACTTCACCAATCAGGACGTTGGATGCTTCGGCATCACGAGGAATCTTCTTCATGAACTTATTCTTCAACTGGCAGAAAGAGATAGATGAAGGGAGAGCATAAGCAGAAATCACATGTTTGAGGCATGTTGCACTACAGCTGACCTCTCCAGGCTGCTCCTGTGTGCAATGATCAATTTACTGTGTGTTGATGGATAATCGCATCATGTGAGCTGGTGACGTCAAGTCGAGGGTAGTTCCACCACTGAAATCGTTACAGAAAATGACGTATAGGATTTTGGACAATAATCAATGAGGGATCCTCCTTTCATGTGGACAGCAGCCCTCTCACTTACATTTATCATTTTTTTTACCAACATTGAGCAAGAGCTCATCGCTTAAACCTCATTACCAAGACGCAATCGATTTCTTCTGTGGTCCTTCACTTTAGAAGGGACGTATTTAGACAAGTATGTTGTATTTATTGTGGCTGAAGCTGGTACAGATGTTTAGGACCCCAGAGGATGCACACTAATAGTTTTGATATCCAGCAGGGCTGTAAAGTCCTAGTCGACTGGTTGACTTATAGGTTGATACATGCTGATTTGAAAAAAATTCTGGTTGGTCAACTCGATTTTTTTTCTGCGTCAATTTACAGTCTACGGTTAATGTCATGAGGGGGAACTAACTAAGTGCTAATTGGGGGGTGTTTTTAGAGCACCCCCTCTTCACAGGTAACAGCCTGTCTCAGAACACCCCCCTTGTTTCACCATTTTGGTAGCTTTTCACCCTGCTGAGCCACGTCGTCCCCTGCCGCAGAAGGTGGGGGGGACACCTAATCTAGAGAGAATCGTCCAAACATCTCCTCAATGGATTGACACTAGAGTTGGTAAATAAAATCATGTATCCCTGAGAATGTTTCCTGCTGGTTTCAAAGTGCCACAGGTCAGAATCGAACCTGAGCTGCTTAGGGGACTTAACCCTCTCTGGGTGTATGATTTTACCACCAAGCAAAAAACAAACATTCACTTCTTCGCCTGTTTTGACAGCATTCTCTGAAAGTCAGGACCATCTGAAGAAGTCCCAAGGTTCCACTCAAGAGCCACACAAGTTCAGGTCCACTTTTTATAAAAGTCACTCTTGTGGAAGTTCCACCATTTTTTGGGTAACTGTTGTTTTTATGAGTGAGACCAAAATTCATCTAGAAAGAGTCACCAGCTCTTTTGGCGTTTTGCCACAGTTGATCTGGCTCCTACTTCTTCTCCTTAAGATAAACCAGTATGACATGGTTTACCAACAAGACCAGCCTCCACCAGTCTTTTATATCACCACGACTAGTGAGAATTTAATGAACCTTTGAATCTTTAATCATCTTGTAATTTGGTTGTCATTAAATGAGTATTACATATTCGCAGAACCTTTGGGGTTCTGGTTTTCCTGGAATCATGTACAGAATCCCAACACACAACACAGTTGTGCAGCGCTCTTTTGGCAAACCCCTCCTTCTCCTCTTAACGAAGGAGGCACGTGGCAGTGGAGTGGTGGGTGCTTAAATTAAAATCTCCCTGTAATCTGTTAATGCTTTCAGAGTCAATTCACCAACTGGTCCTCGTCCACTTTCTCCTCACTCTTGGGTCCTAAGCAACTTTAAACAATACATTTCGATCTCACACACACTACAAACTAATTAAAGAAGAAGGTACGTATTCAGTCTAAGTTTGAGCTTCAGCCTTCAGCTGGGTTCAAGTGATTTGGTGATTTTGTAGTCCCTCAATAGATGTTGCATGTTATTACATCATGTGTTTAATTGTATCAGAGTGCGTGTCGGTCAGATCAAAGAAAGCTGGAGGTGTTACGCCAGCCTCTGTCAATAATAATTAAATCAGAGTCCAGGGTCGCCATGTTTGAGTTCATGTCAGGCTGTGGGGTCAAGATCTTTTCCCCTGATGACAAACACATCTTAAATGTATGCAGCCTGTGTCTGATACTACTGAACAGAGTCTCAAGTCTTTGTTCACTTTGCTGCAGGCCAACAGAAACTAACTTCATTGTTGTGCATCATTTTGAGAAGTTAAATAAATTAGCCACAAAACTCAAAAGGAGTTTGAAATCTGCGCACAAACAAACACAGTCATAAGTCCAAACACACATTCTGGCAAAAACACAATTCAACAAATTCCCCCTTTAGCAACCCGGCTGTGTGGCTTAGAAGGATTAAATAGTCCTAATGACTCTGTATACCTCCTCATAAAGTAAAGTTCAACTTTTCATGAAACACAAACAAACAACAACCGAACCATGCACATAGAAATGGAGAGTGTGTTACAGCAGAACTGAGGTTTAAACATCATTATTCTTACCCACAGGCAACAGGAGATCAGCTCATTATAAATCAATATCAGCTCTGATAGTGACAGGGCATACATGTGGTACTGAAGACAGAGAGGCGCTACACTGATTCTTCAGAAGTGCAAAAGAAAATCTGTCAGTTTTAATGACAAATACTTGTCTATATACTGGATGGATACAAATTCACCCACTGCTGCACACATGAAAAAGAAATACTAAATACTGCAGTTACCTGGTCTGTGCTTGGTGTGTCTGAAATATCATTCATGCTTCGACTTTGTGCAGGATCTGTAAATGAACAACACACTTCAATGTGATATTTGAACATTTAATGTGACACAGTAGTTAAAAGGTGGAAGAGCTTAATTATTTGTTGGATGTCAGAAATAGCAGAGAAAAACGAGAGGACAGAGGGGGCATTCAGGGATGTCCAGAATGAGTCCTAGAACTTCACCAATTATTCCTCTCAGGCAGATTGTGATTTAATGACTCATTTCCCTTTTTTTTTTAAAGCAGATTTGGAAACAGATAAAATTAAATAAGGAGAGAACAAAAACAAACCACTCAGACCCCCCCAAAAAACCCTCTTAATCCTCCCCAAAATACCTTTCAAAGTGTGTATACAATAGGACCAAAATCTCTAATGCAAATGCTCATTCTGTAAAAAATCAGACTGTAGCGTATGAACACAAAGATAAATCAAGTGTTAAAACCATGAGCAGGGATTAAGTTAGGATCAGGGTCAGTTAAAACATTCAGGAACAGTAGTTTATTAAAAAAGCTGAGAGTGCAAAGTCTTAATTCTGGGAAGTGATTACAAATGCTTGAAAAGTCTTTTAGATTCATCACTTTGTTAGAAGTTCTGACACTAACGCTGAGTCTCTTCTCTTAGTCGGATTATAAAAACACAAATTCTGCAAATTCTTTTATGTTGCTAATGTTTCAAACCTCCAAATTACAATTGTTTTTGAATCAGTGTTCACAAGCTAGTTGCATAGTGGAGATATATTCAAATGAAAGCACATCAAATATTCCTAAAAAAGAGAGCTTCAAATGTTTGGTAGGAAAAGTACAGATTGTGCAGAAAACATCCTTTCTGATTAATTCATCAATATTTATGAAATCAGTATTTTTTAGGGGCACATTTCATCATCCAAACATGAGGTAAACAAGCCAATCAGCACACGCAACTTCATGATAATCTGTTATATGTTTTAATGTTGGACATATCATTGCAAAAGTACTGCAAGGTATGGTCAAGGTGTACCAGGGTCCTACAGATTACAACAGGGTCCTGACTGATCTTTCTAATAGACCTGCAGAACTGCTGTCTTCTGAATTAAGCCTTGTAATAAAGCCTTGGTCTGACCCCTCCAGAGGTTCACCAGTAACATCTGAGGATTCATTAGATCACTTTAACTAGAGAAAACAAGATACACAGGGATGTGAAAGGTCAGATAACTGTGGTGTGATAGTTTGTGGGACATTGTAAAAATGGAAGTAACTGGTGAGGATGTTGGTTAAGTGTCGTGTTCTTTAGACTCACGCAGACGACCAAGGCTGCCTGACTGTCGTGAGCGTAGGTCTTCTGTGGAGCGGTGGATCCCAGAGGCTGAACTAGTGCTACGATTCAGATTAGCATGTGGACTACGGTCTGATAGAGCAGCAGCAGCAGCAGCAGCAGCACAAGATTAAAAAACAGAATAGAAAGATCGATTAACAGAGAGATTGGCACAGGTGTTTGTTAGCATGGAAGGAAACAAAAGCGTTCAGGTGTTAATGTAAGATTTGATTGGCTTGATTACAGGTTAGTGGTGAAAAACCAGGTCATGGAAACTTACTGGAAGCAGTGTTTGAGGACTTTCCGATATCTGCCAGTGAGCGGTGGATGGGTTTCTTGGTCTGGTGACGATGCTTTCTGAGCAACACAAAGCTGATCTTCTCCTTCAGATCTGGATTTATGAGACCATCAGCTATCTGCCGGTCCACAATGTCATCTAGATTTCAAGTGAACAGAACAGCTGGATGAACATCTTCAACAATTTTGTATAAATTCTGTCATTTTGTAATAAATTGGTTCCACTCCGATCGTTTAAAGTGTTCTCTGTGGTCTTAAAATTGTGATTTTGAAGTTTTTTTTTCCAAATTCATGTTACCTGTGTTATTTGTAAGAGCTTTTCTTCTGCAGAGCTCTAGTAGCTCATTAACAATTCGCCTCTAAGTCGTGGGCGGAGACAGTGCTGCTCTACACTCTCCTCTCCATGGTAGCTTGCAGCCCAACATTGTTGGCTTAATTGAAGTGGCAGGTAACATAGGAGCTTTTCAGCTCTTGGACACCAATGTCTTTGGAGACATGATGAAATGTAATATTATAATTAGCTTTCTTATGAGCATTGCAATCAGCTAATGCACACGCTTGTTCTGCAATTGTCCTCTCTACTTCTACGACTCTGGCCTGCATAGCGGGACTCCGGGGGTGAAGCTCGGATTTGCTACGTGGGAAATCTCAGTGTATCTGATCCTGCTGTTCTGGGTCTGCCAAAGATGAATGCAGAAATACTCTGAAATGCAATTTGGCACTGAGTTTCCTCATGATATGTCCTGTAGCATCAGAAAAATAAACAAATGAACATGTAGACAACAAGAAAAACATGATTTTCATCAGCGTGGGTCTTTAAAAATCAGTTATCCACTTAAAACATTGATTTGTTTTGTTTTAGTCAAAGCTTGATATTGAGTCCCAATGGTATGCTATTACTAAGCAGGTGTAGTAATAGCATACCATTTAAGTTTGTACATGAATTAGTCAAGTAATTTCAGCAGCGGTTTTGCTCAGACAAACCAAGTAGTTAGTCTTTTCCTCCGTGTTTGCAGGTCTGACTTTAAAACGGTTTCCTAACAGAACAATCAGTCAATGTTGTGTTTTCAGTTCACTCAGCTCAGTGGACAGGATTCAATCAATGCTGAGTCTTTTATGGAACGTGGTCAAACTGTAATGTGACTCATGGTCACCATTGCATGCGTTACATTACAGCCTTCTAATACAAGAAGTGAATTGATTTCTTCTAGATAATGCAACAACTGGGCTGTATCCCATATTATGTTCAGGTAGGGAAATATCGGTGTGAATGAGGAGCTGTGAAAATGTCAAGAGAATAAAATTGAAGATTTAAAAAAATCATTTTAAATCAATACTGGATGGCCCTGATCTTCACGCCCACAGGCAGCACTGCCTACAAAACAGACAAGACTCAAAATCACTTCCAAAAACCACCATCTGTTGCGGCATTCACATGTGCAGGTGAAAAGTGGCTCACGACTTTTCTGGACCTGAGTCCATTAAGGTGGACTGAGGGGACGAGAAAAACTGTCTTGTGGTCTGATGGATCAAAATTTGACCTTCTTTTGGAAAGGACAACTGGACTTACTTGAGACATTTTGCCTGAAGAATTAGAAATCATAGATGCTGAACATTTTGCATCTAAAATGAGTGTAGTTTTCCTCAAAGCGGATCTCTGATTGAATTCTTTCACACTCACCCACTATCTGTGGCAGAGAGTAGCCTTCTAAGTCAAGAAGAATGCTCCCGGTCTGCAAACACGTCCTGAGCTCAAATAGGCTGTGCAGGGTCAACGTGGAGACGTGAGGCTTGCTCCATCTCTCTCCTCCTTCTTCAACTTTTTCCTCAAACTTCACCCACCTACGGGGATGATTAAAGAAAGACAGTGATTGATTTATCCAATTTCAGGAGTACCAAGCAGCAGGATGCCCCCTGTGTAATTTAAAGTGTATCTTTAATCACATCAAGTGTTAAAAGCTTCCCACCCAGCAGCGACTATTTCCCAGCCCTCAACCTCTAAATCCTTTCAAAGGTGACCCCAAATCCTAAACTAATGAAAGCTTTGAAGCCTGTATATTTTGTGTGTGTCTGTGTGTGTGTGCGCGCGCACACCTCGCAGACTCTTTCCATTCTAACTCGTCCCCATCATGCTGCAGTGTGTCCATCTCAGTGAATATTGTGGGTGTTGGTGTGCCATCATCGTCCCCCAGTATGTGACGCAGCCGCTCTGCTGCAGGAGAAACTATAAACAGAAAACCAAAATCAAAGGACAGATAGCAGTTAAACCATTTTTTTTAGAAGTAAAACAATCATGCATGGACATAAACACAGAGAAAAACAGGAAGATTTGTGCCTGTCCAGGATTCTGGAGTCATGAAAGTTTCATGTGATGATAACATTTTGGTCAACATAAAAGCTTCACTCTTTTAACAAGCTAAAATTGTCATGGCAGTGTCAGTCGCTCTAACACTTAGCCTCAAACCAAAGAAGTGGAACAGCCTGTCTTTGTCTTTAAACTCTGGAGAGGCATTAATGAATGAACTACCACGACTCAACACCAACAGCAGTTTGAATGTCTCGCACAACCTCTGAATTAGCAAAGTATCCATTAAACGAAATGGTACAGACAGATGGTTTCTCTGTGAATTTGTCCTCTCAGGTCCTACTGCTTCTACTCACATCACATCCTGTTACACAGACTGCAACACTCAACACTCAGAGACTGCATACAGATGGTTTAAACCATATTTAACAGATAGATCTGTTAAAAATAAATGTTAAAAATGGGAACATCCTGCACCTCAAAGTCAGTTATGCAGTTCCACAAGGTTAAATGAATTATACTTATGAAAGTAAAGCTAGATGACAGCAGTTAGGTATCCAATATTCCTCTGCTCAGAGACAACAAATTATTTGCAGCTTGGCCTTTAACACCAAAAACTTACTTTCTATAGTAATATGAATGTCCAAAATGGCATCAGCCTAAATGACAAAAATGACATGTCTGGTCTGATAATGATTCAGATTCAGTCCATGACATTTTTTCTCTCTGCATCTTGGCTGGATTACTTTAATTACCTGTTATTAGGGTGCATTAATGAGCCTGAAAAGTTTTGAAAGCTGATCTAGAGAAGGAGATCTGATTTTCTTAGTCCTCTCCAAAACATGGGCTTTTTTCAAACTGCAGATTTTGCCACCCATTTATTCTGTCTTTATAACAGAAACGTTACATTGGCTACAAAACCTGTGCTGAAATACCTCCTACACAACTACATAAAGGAAGTGCTCCTTTGATAGACACGAGCCTGACTTAATTCAAACTATCCTTGATAACATGAACAGGCAAACAGGAGAGTCAGTTCATCTAATGAGGATCTGATATCCAATCTGCTGGCACCTTTTTCTAATTTCACTCAGAGCAGATCGATGACCATTAACACCCAAGCCTGGAGGCCTTGTTGAGTTGGATCCTTCTGTTTGCTTGCGTGTGTTTAAGCACGTGACCGTAGGTGTCATTGCACTGTCACCTGTATTTTGAGTTTGTCCCATTTTTAGACAAAAACATTAAAAAAAGATTTTAAAAAAACCCAGGCATATAGATCTGAAACGAGTGACACAAGGATCATGTGGCAACGATGTGCAAACGTCAATCAGCACTTCCACTTACAAGAACGATTATGTAATCTATGTTAACAACCCTGGTTGTTTATTTATACAACCCAATGTTCTCAGAGCGTACAACACTGAAGCTGTTTCCATCGCTCTTTCTGCTCGGTCACATTAGGTCAGGTCCCATCGGGACGTCTGATCAGGTTCACAGTTTTAGTACTCAATGTGTTTATGATCTCCAACCAGCTAATACAACCCCCAAGGGAGAGGTCATGGTGTTTTGTTTCTGCGCCGTTTCGGACTCTTTGTAGGCTGTTAGTAAATCTGTAGTACCAACTTTTACTTAAATATTTCAGACCTCAATCGTTCAGAGGTGTAAGAAGTTTTTGGATTTTTCCGAAAGATTGTTTCAGTAGATTGCCTCAGCCTTGAAATTAGCTGTACTGACTGCAAAATTAAAGAAAGGGTCACTAAAGAAAGAGTCCTTTTTGATAAGACCCTTTGTATCTGAACAGAATCAAATGTTAGATTGCCCTCAGACTCCATTGTCAGCAGTAGTAATTTTACCTCAAATTTATTGATCTTGTATTCCTATTTTTATAACTGATATTACAGTTTTTGTATTCTTTTTTTTTACCTCACTTGTTTTTTTAAATCTTTTATCCTATCTTGTTTTATCTTGCCCTATGAGTTGTATACGTAGGCTACTTATAAAGTCCTGAAATCTACCTCTGTCCTATGCTTTAACATGTTTACTTGACTGATAGATCATTTCTGTATATTGTTGACTCACTGTGTAAATGACTGAATATACACTGGAAAGCCACAAATGAATTGCCCCCAGTGGGATAAATAAAGTTGCCTGAGCTGAAGTGAATGGTGTTCTGCTTGTCCATGACTACTTTTTTTGTTTTCAATCAGCTCCAAGCACGAAAAAATGAACTTAATGAGGTGGCGTTGGACAAGCAGTACCTGTGTTTTCCAATAAAACTCTCTGGCTCTAAGTTTGGTGTCAGCTGCCAAAAATGAGGCTGAAGAAATATTTATTTCCATCCCGCCTTTGGACAAAAAAGTCTAAAAATTGAAAATCTTTTCTGTAATTTTGTTAGACTATAAAACAAACTAAGTCAACAACAAGCTTATTGGGGGCATGTACCTTAAACACACACATTTGCTCTGTGGATTACGCTGCAGTCATTGCAAGCCCATTTTTAAGCTGTCAGATGGAGTAATGAACATTTAGTTTCTTTTATTCATCTAAAATAAAATAGTGGAAATGAAACATCAAAAAAGGGCCCAGCTTTAAAACACACCAGAGTTCTTTTCACTTCTCAGAAAAGTGCGAACCAGTCAGCTATTATTGTTTTAATCATATAGAACTTTCGATCAGCAAAAAAAGGATTTCTCCATGATTGTTGATCTGTAACCAGACATTGTTTTTCAATATAACCTCATGCATTGATACATTAATGCAATCACCTGATTCCTCTGCCTCCATGTGACAAAAAAATGATTGTTGCAACTCTGAATAACTTAATTTTCAACCATGTAGGCTTCTAAAATGTTTGGGAGGAATTAAACAACATGGAGAATCAAAACTTCAGTGTCCCCCCCCCCCACCCCAAAGTCTTAAAGATGGAACAGTTTATGATACAATGCGTGGCCAATACAAAAGCTTATTGTGCGAGATCAGCAGGTACTGAACACTGAAAGATTTGTCTTTAAACTACACAAAATAAAAGAAAACAAAATGATCTTTTAACTTCAAATGTGATTTGCATATAATCAGTGATTTTTGTCTACCAACCGTGGCAGGTTATCTACTCTCCTTTTCCATGTTTTTCTTTTTTTATTTGTTGCATTGTTACCTATATGAGAACCAGGTAGAGTCCGACGGGATGCTCCAGGGTCCAGCATGGTCACTGGAGCCTCTGATAAGAAACAGTATTACCCACTGGGAAAACTTGTCTGTATTCAGGCCAAAAAAACCAAGGTACGCAGCGTCCTGTCCTCTTGTTGAGGTCGAGTGTCCTCAGCTCTTCACCATGACTGAAAAAATACTCTTTCACCGCTTCTCACATACGTCTTTCCAACTTGTTTTTCCACTCCAGTGCCTCAGCGCTGACTTCCTTGGGTTTTATTCCTCAGTAAGTTTTGTTATTTCAATTAGCCATGTATGATTGGTGTGGGAGTAGTCTTCTAAGGGGTCAGACTTGCGCAATTCAATCAGTCCTCTGAAAGCTGTGGCAAGAATCCACTGAAATCTCCAAAGCAGCAAAAGAGCCAGAGGCTTTAAGAAGGTTGACACACACCACAGGGCCCTCTAGTACTCTCCTCCCAGAAGTCCACGTACACACACACACACACACACACACACACACACACACACACACACACACACACACACACACACACACACACACACACACACACACACACTCAGACAAAAACACACATGCAAGAAAATCAAGGACATCCTCTTTGGCAAAGCTCAGACTTTCTTGCCTGGATGACCCCAACAGTCCTGCCTTCAGCTATTCATGTCAGGCCTTGTGTTAGGAAAACTTAGTATAAATCAATAATACAATAATACAAGGCGTACCACACACCAAACACCAGCAGTCACCCCAAATAACAGACACACACACAAACACACACACACACACACACACACACACACACACACACACACACACACACACACACACACACACACACACACACACACACACACAGCTTGGAGTTCCTCAGCTCTAATCAGCTTACAGGCTACAGACTTTATGGCCCCCCTGGGAACGCTGACCATGCTGCAAAAATTCATCACATACATGTACTTCAAACTTCAACCTCATCAAAAACTCTTTACAGAAACAGGCTTTTGGTTAATCCACCTGTAAAGGTGAATCAAGTCTGGATGAAGACCTGTCACCACTGAGTTTAGCACTTATGGCTCCAAATGGGTTCAAAGGCTCGTAAGATTTCATGTGAAGGCACTCAAGCACAGAAATGCTTAGTCCATTATCACGCCCACAGTACCAGTTCTTTCTTACATTGTTAAGCAGTTACACTTCGTGTAGCATGTCAGTACCTTATCGTTTTCTTGTTAGCAACCAACAGTGTACACCAACAATGGATGAATGTATCACTTGTTTTGGCCACAGAACAAAGAATAAGACAATTTCAAACTGGGACCTTTTGTTGATGCAACATTAACGTTATGAAGGAACAAACTACAAGTCTCATTATCCCAAGACATACTTTTGATAGCAGCAAGCCCAGCAGTCCAAAGGTACCTCTCCCAGGGCACTACCAGGCTAAGAACTACAGTTGTATCACCCATGTGTGGTCTAGGTCTACCTCTGGATCTCTTCTTAGTCTGAAGGGCCAAGAAAGTGGCCTAACAACAAGGTGGCATCATAATCACATGCCAAAGTCATCTCAGTTTGTTTTCCCAACAGCTCAGAAGCAGCTCTTCATTGCCTCTCTTTCTCCATCTCTACATATGAGTGTGGACACAACAGAGACAGGACTCTTTTGGGGCTCTTGTGATGTCTCTTTTTCCACATCCCAATTATCATTGAACTTGAATTAATCTGCTAATTTAAAGCTTTGACTTGACTACAAGCTCAGTTTTCTCTGTACCCTGACAGAATTAATTCTGACAAGTATCAATCCTTGGAAATCTAATGCCTCATTAACCTCACTTGGGATCCTCAGATCTTCACTTCAGGCAACAATTACTCCCAGCCTGCAAAGAGCAATCTCTCTTTCCCGCAGACTTGGAGGTGCTTCACATTTAGCTACAACTTCCTCCTGTTCCTCACTGGAAGCTAAAAGTTTGGTGAAACCAGCGAAAATGTACCTGGACAGAGAAGAGGCATGATTCTTAAGCAACCAGACTTGACATACTTACACCCACATCCACCGTCCCTGACTGTGCCATGATATGTGCATGGCTATCTTGAGCAACCTTGGCAGAGGTCACTCACACTGACTGGAAAGTTGATTGATATTATTCTAGTGATACAGACACAGCTCTCACTTAAGCTACACAAAGACTGAAAAGCTCTCGCAATGGCCCCAGTACCCATAATCCTGTCTTGCACCCCCTGGACTCACTTGATAAGGATGTTGATGTTGACTGGATGTGTGAACTCCCATAACTCCATCAACATTAGAATGGTAGTCAGCTGGTTAAATCAATGTTCCCACTCTACCCAAGCTTAAGAGGTCATGGGTCCTCCTCCTCAACATCTTCAATGGAACATCTCTGCAGAGTGGTACCCTGATATTTGCAAACCCTCCAATCTCCTTTATTACAAACCTAAAACACCACCTTGGCTTTCCAAGGGAAAAGCATTATTCAAGTGAAGAAGCACATCAGCCAAGACAGCTCAATGCTGCCTAGACCCCTCAACTATGTGCTGACTGTTTATGAATTGGGCACAGCATACTCTAGAAAGTATCTTCATGTATTCTCAAACCTGAGGGGTCAGAGGGTTCTTGATGCTCTGTGCTGCCTTCATCATCGTCAGATCGCTCCTCTGTGTCTCGGTCTCTGTCATGGTAATATCCCCTGTGTGAGTGTTCACGGTGTGTATGGCGGTCATAGTGTGTGTGCCTTGTGGCACGCTCAGCATCACTGGCGTGGGAATGATGTCTGCGCCTTTTCCGTCTGTGGGAAGCTGGAACGCCGATGTAGACCGGCTGGCCCTCTGAAAGAAAAGGACAGACAGAAAACATGGAAGTGCCATATTAATACTGGAACAGGTTCTAAGGGGACAGACAGATCATCATATGCCAAAGCCTGCTGGTACGTAATTGGTTGATACTACATGGATGACAAGAACCCTACAAATGGATACCAAAATCCAGATTCCTGAGTACTGGTTACACATTTAATGCAGAATCTGTTGACAAAGGCCAAATGTTGCACCAGCTCTGTGTAGGTAGTTTCTGATTGAAATGTTTGGGCCAGCTGAGATAGTTTTGATGTAGGAAAAGTGACGATTAGACCTTAAACCCAGCTCTGAGTATCTTTAAAGTCCTTCATATAAACTTTTCAGGGCACATTTTTGGAGGATGGAGTCATTTGAAGGATGAATGAGGAGAAACAGAGAGTTTTAAGGGATGACATGTTCTGCAATGATTGGCTAAATGAAGTAAAAATCATAATTTCTTTAGTCATAGTTTGGTTAGTTTGGGAATTACGTCCCATGACTAAAGATGAACCTTGTACCTGCATGTTGTTACAAAGTTATGAAGCAACTTCACTTTCAAATGAGTAATTTCTACATTTGGTTTAATGTGGACTCTGCTCCCTTACTTTAGACGACACTTCTGATGATGTCCTACAGTAGATAGTACTAAAACATCGCCCTTGTTACTTTGCTAAGAATCATTTACCAAACAGAAACATAAGTTTCCTGGGACACAGATTTTCAGGATGACTGTTTTCTTACCATCTTCATCATCATCGTACCGTCTGTGACCTCTACTTCTCCCCCGCTGCCAGTCATGATGGTCCATCCTAAAACAGTCATGCAGACACCAGGAGTCAGAGGTTTACTTGTTGTGGGCAGACATTTTTCTCCTGGTCAGGGAATCCTCCTGGCCTCACAGTGACTCTGTGCAAGATCCTTTCCCACATGGCAACACATGTGCCAGCGCAGCCTCAGCAGATCAATACATGACAAGAGGAAAACTCAATGGAAAACCCAAGCAGCCCTTCAGGGCCAGACTGCAGCTCAAACCATCAACGGCAAAGGAAATTTTTAGCATTCCTCTGAACTGCTGCTAGACTCTGACCCTATACCCTTAAACATATTGTATGTATGACTAGATTGAATTATTTCAAACTTCATTCAAAAATTTATCACAGGGGTCACCATGGCTTTGACACATTTATGAATATCCAGTCTCCTCTAATGAATCATCATGAGGTACTGAGGAAAACCGTTTGGTGTTAACCAGGGTATAAAAACGCTCAGTTTCTTCTCAGTTATCTCAAACTAACATACCTGTACAGAAGTCAGTCAACATACTTTATTGATAATAAAACCATTATTCTGGACTCAATAAATCCATTTTTAATAGTCCTAGGCTTTCACGATTCTTTCATATGTGAGATCATTGAGGGGGGTGGTCTGTGATTGAAGCCTGTCAGAGTGATTTCAGGTTAATGCAGGCAGAGGAAACAGAGAGAAAACTAACTTTTTAAACTCTCTCTCCAGTTTAATTTACATCCAGATATGTTCATTTTCATATTATGTGCACATGTGGATTTTCGCTGTGCGCTCATTATGCACGTTTCTCTTCCTACAGCTGATTTGGGGGTGGTTTCTAGGCTGATCAATAGATGTCATTTCTGATTGCTAAGTAGTCCCTGAAGCCTGATCAGTGACTGTGAAGGTCAGTCACATGAGTGCAGTCATGCACACACACTCATGGGCATGACCACACACACACAAACACAGACAGTAGTGAGAACCACAGAGCGAGTGGAGGATCATTTCAGAATAAAAGGTTTTAGAGGGCGGTGTTCTGCTCAGTCCTGCTCCCTCTGAACTTAAGCTTTTTTTTTTCACTGAATAAACTTGCAAGAAGAAGAGGAGTGACTGATCAGGAGACAGAGCTCATCATCAGACTGGACCTGAGCGGTGGTCACCTGACTACTCTGATCCTAAATGTCCAAAGATTTAGAATGTCCAATGTCATATTTCTGATTCTCCAAGTCCTAAAGTGTTCTGTTGCAGTGCACCTGAATTCCTTTCCATTTTTTTACATGATTCATCGCATTGCATGACATTAACTTGACTGACATTTTCCCCCAATTATAGCCTCTCCATGGATAGTTTCCCCATGTATTTCCTGGCTTGGTTTAAAACAAGACCCCTGATGCTGCTGCATCCAGCAGATACTGTACAGACACTCAGTCAGCCGTCCTCTACACAAACAGACACACACACATACACACACACACACACACACACACACACTTTTACATCCCTGCACCAACAACAAAGCATCGGCATTCATTAATATTCCAGCTACCAGCCTAGGCAGAGGTCTGTTCACCTCTGAAAGGGAACAAATAATTGATCTCGGACTCAGCCCTGGCTCGTGAATTTGCATTGGGACAACGCCAACATCCCCTTGTCAATAAAATGTTGAGGGATATGCACTTGCAGACAAAATTAGCAAATGAATTTTCTGAATTAGACTGTTCCAAGCAGCATAAAACCTCAGGAGAATCTAAAGACTGAGACATCTGTAGAGTTTACCAGAAACCTGGTGGAGCTAAAATGCTCATGTACGTACTGGAATATGTGATATTAACTCACATGTTTGTTTTGAAAAAAAAAAAAAAAAAAAAGGAACAACCATTACTCCTTAGAATTTTGCTCCGGACTGAAAGCTTTCCAGATAAGTTTGTTTAAATTAAATTGAATCAATAAAACAGAGACACATGCGTTTGATAAGACAATTATTTCTTTGCCACTTTGAAGTTACAGTCTGGAAACCTTTGTCAGAAATCAACATTGCTGATAAAAGTCTTGAATTCCAGGAGTTTTCTCCAATGTCATCATTTTTTAGTGACAAAAGAGTTCTAGGAGAAGATTGTCCAACTCAAAAGGGATAATCGGTCTTTACCAAAAGTCCTGCATGGAAAAATATTTCATACAAAGTTTGTCACCTACCTGGGTTTATATTAACCATCCTTACTTTTAATCAGAAAGGAGCTCCTCTGCAAACTCCATATTAAAACTTATTCATAAAACACTGACACATGAAAATAAGCTGTGAAATCCTTAATAAATCTTATTTTAATTTAGAGTTTATTGGTACCTCCAGTTAAGGGGACCTACTTTATCATCAGAGAGCTCCGACTGACCGTCAGAAACCACGAGAAGAAAAAACAACCCAAAGTCAAACTAATAAAAAAGTGACGAGTTTTTCTTACCTGAAAAGAGAGACCAAGGGAAGGACACAAAAACGAGAAGTGATTTTATGATGAGAGAGTCTTTTCACAGAAGGTAGAAACTCAAGTATCACTGATTGGACTGCTTTCTATGTAAAATCTACAGAATGAAATCCTGTGGACCAACAAGCTGCACTCAGTGACCGTATCGACCATCTGAGTAGTGGGCACCGGATGCAGCTGGACTGTCACTGTCAGTGTGTGCGTGTGTGTGTGTGTGTGTGTGTGTGTGTGTGTGTGTGTGTGTGTGTGTGTGTGTGTGTGTGTGTGTGTGTGTGTGTGTGTGTGTGTGTTGGTTGGGGGCAGGGTGTGTTCAGAGTAACAGTGTGCATTGTGTGATCGGTGTTGGGCATCCATTCATGTTTCCCCGGGCATCGACTCTGCTGCTAATTTGCGGTAGAAAATAACTCAGTACATTTGGTCCCCTCTCACTCTGGGATACCTGAACTCAACTTTAGCTGCACAGTTTTACTTCTAGTGCTCTATTTTTCACAGAGAAACTTTAAATAAATAAAACTCTTCAGCTCTTTCTTGGCAGTTTTGGTGTCTTGTTCCTCTCCAAAAGTCCCAGGTTTAAGATTTTACACTCAAATCAAAAGTGAGCTCCTTAATGACTGCAACAAACTTTTTAATGTTGTTAAAAAACCTGAAGTTGATTAAGACTAAAGCAGTTCTTTAATATGAAAGTAAAATGACATTTTCAAACAAGTCTTTGATTTGAATCCTATTTTATCCTAGCTTTTACAGGTCATTTCAAAATGTTGATTGCAGTATCTGCTGTTTTTTGCCAAAATATAGTCTGTTAAACACAAACTTAACCTTATAAATGAACCTGCTCCAGTAAACACATATCACCCAGGAAGAGTCAGCTCTTCATCCATATTTTTCTGGGCACAAAACCCTGAAAACATTTTTAGTTTATGGCTGAATTGAAAGAAAGTTTGTTCTGTGAAATGACAGGATCTTTGAACTTTAAGGACACCATACCTGCCATCCCCTAACCTTGGGATGTCCTATCTCCTCTACCGGCCACAGAAACAGAAAACTTTATTTTTGCACTTTCTCACCAAAGCCAAAATTTATCCTGACAGGACAGAGAGGAGCTTCAGACCTGGGGCTCCTCTCTGTCCTCTCTGGAATCTGGTCCATACACGATGTCCATAAAGCTACAAAAACATCATTGCTGTCTCATCTGTCTCAGATAGACCCACCCCTCAGCTCCTGCATATAGTCAAGGAATTCTGGTCTGGTAGTTTAGGTCCTCCGTGTGTTTCCTGTACATCGTAGCCTTTCTTTGTTTACATTGACTTCTTGGTCACTGATGCAGGTTCCTATTGGGCAAAACAAATAAAGACACTCTGGACAAATAAAAAGCCTAACTTTAATTTTTCCACATTTATATTCAAACAGTACCATGACACCTTGTCAAAATTAATTAAAAAAACAAACAGTGGATTGTTACTTGAACTGTAACACCATATGTCACCAGCAGATGGTGCTAAAAAACCTGATGTGTCAAAAACAGGGAGCAGTAAATGATAAGTGAGGGTGCAGTGAGACCCTGCTCTGATGCTGACAGTAATCCTCTTACCTTTCTAACCAGCAGAATAAATCAGACGTATTTAACACTCCGTGTGGTCCACTGCTCAGAGGGGATCTGAGTGAAAACAATCCAGTCATTTAAAAACAACCTGCAGAAGTCAGACGCTTCCAGTGTGAAATCTGGTTCCCGAGTCACAAATTTAGAGTTTAGGAAAAAGTTTCAGAGCTATTGCAGTAGATTACTTCACCTGCCATGAATCAGGTAGTAATAGCTGCAAATAGTCTACTGGAAAAATGCATTTAGCCTGCTAAAGGTTTTTGATTTTGTCAGTGACAGACTCGGGTTGTTATTCTAAAGGTCCTTTTACACCAGGACCGTTTTCGTCGTGCGATTATTTTGGATGTCAATATTTTTTTTCAAACCCATATCCTGTCAATACAAGCATTCACATCAGCGACGTTTTCCCGTCCTGTGATATTGCAGCATTTATTTTTCCGGATCATGGTCGATTTTTCGAAGTTTCGCATACTGTGTGTCCACTTCTGGCCAATCAGATTGCGTGTTGTTGCGATGTCTGATTCAGTTGCTTTTTGATAAAAGACACAAACATTACAAAGATAACGACCTCAGGGACAACTTGCGGTTTGTGTGCTTTAACAGTTTGCTAAATGTCTTTGTTTTAACTTTCATCTGCGCTAACGTAAGCTAACTGTTGTTACCATAGTTTCACAGCTGTGCAGCATTTGGGTGCACCAACCGCTCAGAGAGGGGCCATCGAATGTATGGTTTCCCAAAAGAAAAGGAGAGGCAGAACAGATGGATTAAACAGATTTTAAGAGTCTCCCTGCAGGTGCATTTTGAGGACAGTCAATTCATTTGTACAAAAAAAGGACGCCTCAGGTTAAAACCTGATGCCGTACCCACCTTATTTTGCCATCGTCAATGGCCAAAAAGAAGGAGAGCTCCCAAATGGCACACGTCCTCAACAGAGGTTCACTTGTCAAGCAATGACCACAACTACTGTACAAGAAATGATTTTGGTATGATACACAGTTGTCTCTACAGGCATCTTGATCTATTTGTAAAGAAAAATTTGGATTTAAGGAATAGTTGGCCCTGATTTGACAAGGGTTGTGTTTGTTTCCCACAGTCAGTGTGTTCAACAGCTGCGACTCACTGCCCACAGAGTCCTGTGAGCGCAGTTCTTTAGTTCTCAGTTTTAACTACATGAAACTACTTTCTGTAGCATCAAAACCTGTTCAGGACCAAGCTCATGGGACTCCTGGGGGGGTTGAGTAGCAGCTGATGAACCACACTGACTTTTGAAAACAAACAACACGAGTCAAATCAGGGTGAACTATCCCTTGAAACAGGACATGAAAGAAGGTGGTGATGTAAAGGAGGCAAATGCATATTAACTGAAACAATACCTTGTCATTATTACAGAAAATGAGGCAGAAATTGAGGCAGAACAAATAGGAGTAGGCAGCCCACAGGTAGACGATGGTGAGGTCCTTGAAGCTCCAAGGGACAGACAGTCAGGGGCAGCAAGTGAAGAAGCCACTGTGACAGGGGCAAGCGTTCCAGGGACCAGTGATGACAGGGCGACTGTTGATGACCTAAGAGAGCAATTGAGGATTGAGACACTCCAAAGAAAGAGAGCGGAGAGGACTCTTAAACAACAAAAGAAAAAAAATTGGGGTTTAAGAAAGAAGAACAGTTTAATTAAAAAAAGTTCAAGAGGGATACGCTGGAGCAATCAGACCCTGAAAGCCATACAAATTCGATTTACTGCTGGCACAACAGGCTACAAAACATTGCAAAAAATGAAAATCCCACTACCTGACATTAGGACTACACAACGGAGGATGCAGCATGTTAAGATGGAGCCTGGAGTGTTGATGGAGGTGTTCAAAATGTTAAAGCTAAAGGCAGGGGGAATGAACAAAATGGAGAGGGAATGTGTACTCACACTGGACGAGATGGCCATCACTCCAGGCGTGGAGCTGCATATGGGACCGGGGAGACTATTTGGCAACGTAACACTTCCCGGTCACACAGGGCAAGCAACGCATGCCTGTGTGTTTATGCTCGCTGGTGAAACAACACGCTGGAAGCAAATTGTTGCTTACCACTACAGCGGTAATTCTACAGACGGCTCAGTTTATCAGCCCATCATCATTGCCATCGTAGAAGCTGCAGCATCTGTAGGGCTTCATGTTATAAACATCACCAGTGACATGGGGAGTCCCAATCAGGCAATGTGGAAGTCATTTGGGGTGACCCAGGATAAGCCATGGATACCCCATCCTGTTGAGCAACACAAGCGGCTCTATTTCCACATCTTGTCAAGAATTTGAGAAGTGCCCTCATCCGGGATCAAACCATCACCATTCCACAAGATGTGGTGCACAAAGAGCAGCTGGCATCCAGTGTTGTTCCCCTAAAGGATCTTGTTTCCTTCCAGGAGAGCATGGAACTCAAACTGGCACCAAAACTGTCCCGTGCCATCCTTAAACCTAACCATTTTGAAAAAATGAAGGTTAGTTCTGCAATGCATGTTTTCAGCAGGCAACGAGTGCTGCCCTGAGGAACCTTGTGGAGGAGGAGCAGCGACCACAATCCTACCTTGTGACATCATGGTTTTCGGAGAAGGTGGACCACTGGTTTGACCTCATGTCTTCCCAGAATGTTGTCACTGCTCTCAGCCTGTTCAAAATGGAGGAGTATGAGAAAGCCATCCACTTTCTCCAGGACAGCATCCACCTGTTTCGGGGCCTGAAGATCGGTCACCTGGGGCCTGTTCTACGAAGCAGGATTACTGCTTAGCGAGGTAACTTTGAGGATAAGTTCGGGGTTTCCTGTTCTACGACGCGGGTTCACCTCTTAGCGAGGCGAGTCTCCATAGCAACATACGCTGAACGGCTAAACTGCTCCGGGGCAGGTTAAGTTCCAGATTGAACTCACCGAGTATAAAAACCCCGCCCACTGACCAATGAGCTCTCTCGAAAAACGGCTTGTCCGTTCTCGGAGGATCCTATAGACCTCGGTGCTCGCATTGTCCGAGGAGGAGCACTCCGGCTCGCGAGAGTTTACAGGGAGAGTTTTCTCCGGATGACCACCTTTATGAAAGGCTCATATGGCCGACATATTACACAAAACATGTAAACACGATAGGAATGAACAAATGAATGATTCATCTTGGGAATGAATGGGCATGGGCTGCGCGATCACAGACAACATCTCGGTACTATTTAGTAGCAGCGCACGCCCCTTATGATAACCCCGTAAATACTGTTGTTCAGGACTGCTTACTTGTGCTTCCTACCCACTGTAACAACCGTTGTTCTTGCCCACATGCAACATTTTTGTTCTCATTCATGAAACGCTTAAATCAGGGACATTTTCGGGGACAGCTTTAGCCGGGGACAGATCATGCAATTCGGGGACTGTCACCTTAGTTAAAAGCGCATGTTGAACAGTGCTATTTCAGGGTGATAATGGCATCAAAGATTACTTTTCTGCCAGCATTCCCTCCATGCTTTTGTAGCGGCGACGGTGTTGCTTTTGAGGTTTATGATAGCTTTCAATTCTTCATACTTTCTCATGATCGTCTCCTGTTACTCGTTTGTTAAGTCCGCGGTCCTTCACTCTCCAGCCTGCTCTGACGCTCCAGACTGATCCATGTTCGCGATTGGTCAGATGCGGCGGGCTCCGCCTTATATGTGTGCACGCGCTCATAGCAGAGCTGGATCCACTTATGAGGTTGATAACCAGCGTCGTAAAACCGTGTAGCGAGACCGCTGGCTACCGCGCTAAGTTGAGCGAGGTAGCTCCAAGGCTACCTCGCTAAGTTGAACCTGCTTCGTAGAACAGGCCCCTGGGCAGCTGGAAACCAGTCCAGACAGGACTTGTGATGGCCACTAGAGTGATCCTGGAAGTCCAGCAAGACCTGTTGAGCAAAGGGCACAAATTTGTTCTCACAACTCGGTTTACACAGGACTGCCTGGAGAACACCTTTTCTTGTATTCATCAGAGGAACCCTGTCCCAACACTAGAAGAGTTCCACTACTCACTGCGAACTGTCACTGTTGGACAGTTCCTCTCCACAGTACCTACCGGCAATTACTTGGATGATGGATCTGACCATTTGGCAGACTTCCTGGACTTAAAGAGAAGCAGCTGCAGTCCTCCTCCAGTGGTGCGCCTGGAGCAGCTGGATGACCCAGCATCACCACCTGACTTCACAAAAACAGAGTCCTGTGTCCTCTACCACCTGGCAGGATACATTGCGAAGAGGGTCATCAGCTGCTCACTTTGTGATGAATGCCAGAGCTCCCTAATAGAAAATGAAATGCAAGTGAGAGAGATGTTCTTCTCAGATTGAGGGAGTTTAAAAGGGGGGCACTATACCGGCCATCTGATGAGGTTTTCACTCTCATTCAGAGTGTGGAGCAGCTGTTCCAGGCGACCTCAGTTGACTCACTCATGGAATCAACCAATGCAGTGGCAATGCTGGAACAAGCGGAAATGAAACTTGACAGCAACCTTCCCTCATACCATGAGCTTCAGAAAAAAATTATCACCAGATACATCCGGCTGAGGTTGAGAATTGTCTCTGAGTTCATCTGGGCTGCAAAAAAGAAAGACACACATAGAGGGTGCTGTAGCAGCAAGAGCCAAAGCAAAAGGGGAAAAAAGAAACCAGCTACATCTACTGCAACAAGTACTTAAATACACCTTGTGGTGCAACCTGGACACATCGTCAGTGATGTTCCCGGGGTCATAGGGTGTTTCGGGTCTTACATCAGACACCCTCACCCGGGCGACCCAGCTGGGGGTGATCAGGCCCCGACTTGTGTCCAGGTAGCGCACTACACCACGTGTCCCCTCTCCTTAACCAGAGCCACCGAGACGCCTTTTCAGCAGCCTCCAGGATGTTCTTGGTGCCTCTTCGCCTGTGCAGCCCGCAAATTCCTAAGAGCCCCAGGACCCGGTGTAGAGACTGCCCTGCGAAGCCCCGGCAGCCCACTTCTAATGGCTCACAGCGGGCCTTCCACCCATTCCGCCGACACTCCGCTACCAGGTCTGCGTACCTGGCCCTCTTCCTCTCCTGGGCTTCCTCAGCACGATCTTCCCAGGATACAGTCAATTCAAGCAGCACCACCTGCTTGCTTGCCGCAGACATCAAGACCATGTCCGGTCGAAGCGAGGTGACTGCGATGGTGTCCGGGAATCTCAGCTGTCTCCCTAGGTCAACCAGGAGCTGCCAGTCTCTTGCTGTCACGAGCAGGCCCCCTTGGGTCTTTCTAGGTGGATGTGGTGTCTCACCTGCTCGGACAAAGGCGATAGAGGTCTTGGACGGGTGTTGCTGCTTGCTGCTGATGATGCCAGAGCAGATGGTGTCTGCTACTGCCTTAAGGACCTGGTCATGACGCCAACGATAACGCCCGTCTCCCAAGGCCTTCGGGCAGCAGCTGAGGATGTGCTCTAAAGATCCCCTTCTCTGGCAGAGTTGACAAGCAGGTGTGTCTACTAGGCCCCAGGTGAACAGGTTGGCAGGGCTGGGGAGGATGTCATATACTGACTGGACCAAGAACTTGAAATGGTGTGGCTCCGCCTTCCAGAGTTCTGCCCACGTGATCTTACGGCCAGCTATATGCTCCCACCTAGTCCAGGCCCCCTGCTTGGACATGCCAACTGCTCTGCTGAAGCGAGCTTCCTCCACCTCGGCTCGCACCTCGTCCTGGATGAGTTTCCGCCTCTCCTTGCCTTTGGCCTTGATGTAACATGGCTTGGGATTGCTGCCAAGCCCGGCCCGACCAGTAGCCACCGTGCCCACAAGGGTGCTATGCTGCAACCTTGCCTCCGCCCGCTCCACTGCATCCTTGGCACGCCACTTCCTTCCTGTCCTAACCTCCACCCCTGCTGAGGAGACCTTGGTGTCAGCTGAGTCTCGGTAGAGTAGGACTTCTCTGGTTCTGGTGACCTTGAACTCCTCTGTTAGACTGCTGAAAGGAAGTTGCAGCTTGGTGTTATGGCCAAAAAGAGCAATGCTGCTGAGGCTCCGAGGCAGGCCCAGCCACCTGCGCAGGAAACGGCTGACCTTCCGCTCGAAGCCCTCCACGGTGGTAATAGGGACTTCATAAATTAGCATTGGCCAGAGGAGACGAGGGAGGATGCCATGCTGGTAGATCCAGGCCTTGAACTTTCCCGGGAGTCCCGACTTGTCCACTGCTGAGAGCCATGTGTCAAGGTCGTCGCTGGTGCCCTGCCGTGCAGCGGTGTCCTTCAGGTTGCCAGTAAAGAGCTTGCCCAAGCTCTTCACGGGCTTTTCTGACACTGATGGGATTCTTGTGTCTCCCAGCATGAAGCGAAACTGATCTGAGACTTTCCCTTTCCTCAAGACTAAGGCTCTGGATTTCGCAGGCTTGAAGTGGCAACGTCGTCTAGGCCACTGCCAAGCCCCTTACTGGTTGCCATGGATGTACTCAGGCTTTCAACCCCTTCTCCATCACCAGCAGACTCCAGTGGTCCCTCACTCCAGCAGCTGCGACCAGCCACTGGCAGCAGCCATCAGCCAACAGTGTCCACCCCTAGCCAACGCCAGCTGCAGCTGTCAGGGGCAGCAGCAGGAGGAGGTGAACATAGAGAACAACCTAAAAATGTCAACCTCATGTCAGTTTGTGTTAAGGGAGTAGGATAATAATTTACATTTCAATTTGCAGGTCAAGGAGAAGGTGGATTTATCCTGATCTCATCCACCATCAGCAGACCCCAGTAGTCCTGTGCCACAGCAAGGTGCAAGCGGCAGCAGCAACCGCAAGCAGCCAAATCCAACGGAGCAGTGTTCATTGGCCTCCTCTTTTGCCTATTCAAAGTTCAAATAGATTAGATTTGATTAAAGGATTGGGTTGGAGAGCATGTCATAAAGTGGTAACAGATGTTACTTTTTCATAAGAGAAAATAATACAATAAAGTGGTAAGTAACAGGTGTTACAAGCTGTTTAAACAATTGTGCAATGTTTTGGTCTTGCAGCATGGCCTGCATAACATTTTTCCATGTTAAACATATGCCTTAAATGCTGAAAGAATATAAAAAGTAGCGGTCCCTTTACACTATCATCCCATGGTATACATAAGCAGAAATCAAATTACATTACAGCTGACGATGTCCAACTAGCAGGCCATGGCTTAAAAAAATCAATCCCAGTTCCTAACTAAAAAAAACCTAATTACATTTGTAATTACAATTTGAGCATACTGAAATTAAAGTCATTTTACATATAAAGGGGTCCCTCAATACCATTAACACACATATTGGCATTAAATTCGTTGATACAGTTTTTTACCTCTGGGA